GACTGGAAGAGGAAATGATAAAATACTTGGAGAGCAGTGAAAAGATGTGGTTAGAAGAAAAAGGAAAGTTGAATTCAAAAAAGGGGGAAATTCTGCTAAAAAGAGTAGGGAGATGATAGGCTATCTTGGGGTTTGAATGAAAAAAGCTGGGAAAGGGGATGGTCTGTTGGGGGAGGGGAGGCGTTTTAGTGGGAGATGGGGGGGTTCTCTTATTAGGTTTAATCATTGAATTAAAGCTGCTATTGTGGAACGTGAGGGGGTTGGGTTTGGGGAGAAGGAGTATGGTGGTGTGCAACTTGCTGAACAGATGGAAGTCAGTCATGGTTTTTCTTCAAGAATCCATATTGGAAGTAGCGAAAGCTGAAATGATAAGGAGTATATGGGGTCAAGGCCAAGTTAGATGGGCGAGCAAGTCGGCCAGAGGAAGTACAGAAGGCTTATTAATTCTTTGGTATTGATTGAAATGCAAACTTATCTCTTCACATGTTGGGGATTTCTCGGTGTCACTGCTATTGGAACTGGTGGGAGGCATTCAAAGACAATTTATGGAGGTGTATGGTCTGACTGAGAGTTCAAAAAGAGAAAGGCTCTGGGAGGATCTGACTGAAGCCAGGGGTTCTTCTTCTTTGCCTTGGGTTTTAGGGGGGATTTTAACGTGGCCAGATTTTTGGAAGAAATAAATGGAGAAAGTCGGAGAACTAGAGACGTTGGAAGATTTGCAGTGTTTGTAAGCTACTTTGATCTTATAGACCTTCCTTTAATAGGGGCACGATTTACCTGGACAAATAATCAGGATACCAAGTGTTGGTGAAATTAGATAGATTCCTGGTTTCTCCTGGATGGAAGATTTATTTTAGAACCTTAAACAGGTGGCCCTCCCGCAGCCTGTCTCTGACCACACCATCCAATTAGTTTGTGGTAATCAGGAGGTTAGGAAAACCCCTTTCCAAATGGAAAATGCCTGGTTTGAAGAGGAGGACCTGGTCCCTTTGCTATTCTCAAAATGGATCAGAAACCCAAGTGGAAGGAACAAACTCCTTTGTCCTTGCAAAGAAGATCAGTGCTATCAAAGATACTTTGAAATCCTGGAGGCAATCAGGGAAAGTTAGAGACAGAACTAAGAAATTGTTTAGGGACAATTAAAGAAGTGGATTTGGCTGAAGAAAGAGGTCCTATTACAGAAGAAGAGAGGAGAAAGGATTGTTGGCTAAATTGATTTTGGACATGCTAGCTTATAAGGATGAGTTGAAATGGAGGCAAAGGGCTAAGGTGAAATGGCTAAAAGCTGGGGATAGAAAATCTAGCTTCTTTCACAAGATGGCCAATGCAAGGAAAAGGCTAAACCTCTTAGAGAGGCTTGAACATGAAGGTCTGGTGGGTGAGGACCAGTCGGAAATGAAAAGTATTACTACAAAATTCTTCTTGGAAGATGAAATTTGGCAGGTGGTGGAAAATCAGGAAATAGATAAGTCTCCAGGGCCGGATGGCCTCACCAATCTCTTTTACAAGTGGTGCTGGGAGGTGGTGAGAGCTGATCTGTTCAAAGTACTTCTCTGGAAAGGAGCCTGAATGATACTTTCATTTGTCTAATTCTGAAGGTAGACGGTGCATCAAACATTAAGGACTTCAGACCAATTAGTCTTCTGAATAGCTTCTATAAAATCCTGGCTAAGGGTTTAACGGAGAGGCTCAAAAAGATCCTAAATACTGTGATAGAAAAATATCAGTTTGCATTTGTGCCAGGCAGACAAATTTTGGACAGTGTTTTGGTGGCAAATGAGCTGATAGACTCAAGGAAATGGGAGGGCAGGCCAGGGATGTTATGTAAATTGGACTTGGAAAAGGCTTACGACCATGCCAACTTGTGATGTTTGGACTTTGTCTTGGAAAGAATGAATTTTGGCCAAAAATGGAGGGACTATTTTAAAGCTTGTATTACTTCCCCAAAATTTTCAGTTTTAGGCTGTTTGTAATTTGTTCATCTTTTGGGGGAGATACGAGAGTTTATCTCTCCCTTCTCTGCTATTTTCCATTCGATCCATTCCATCTTTCTTAATGTTTTCAATGAATACAATTTCTGTTATTGATCATTTTTTTTTTCAATTTTAGTGAATGGGCAGTCAGTGGGATTTTTTAAAAGCACCAGAGGATTAAGACAAGGGGATCTCCTTTCCCCTCTCCTCTTCATTTTTGTGATGGAAATCCTAACAATCTTTGTTGACCAAGTGAGGGAAATGGGAGTGTGGAAAGGGTTTGAAGTGGCTCCTGGAGGGGAGAGGGTGCAACTCTTGCAGTTTGCTGATGACACACTTTGTTTCATCGATGCGGATGTGGATCAACTGGGAGTGTTGTTAGGGGTCCTAACCTGGTTTGAAGTAGTGGCAGGGCTGAAAGCCAAGTGGTCAAAGAGGAGACTAATTCCAGTGGGTAGGGTAGATAATTTAGATGAGTTGGCTGAAATGCTGACATGCCAGATTTGTTTTTTTTTTCATTTATTTATTTGGGTCTACCCCTGGGAGCCAAATGCACTTCTTTGGTTTGGGACCCAGTTGTGGAGAATATGGAAAAGAAGCTGCCCTCTTGGAAAGCTAAATATCTTTCCTTGGGAGGTAGAATCACCCTTCTAAAAAGTTCCCTCTCTAATTTGCCTCCTAAACCTTTCACTATTTCCAATTCTGGTGAAAGTGGCCAGAGAATAGAAAAACTGCAGAGGGACTTCCTTTGGAAAGGATAGGAGGAGGAAAAAAAGATCCATGAAAGGTGGCCTGGGAATTGGGAAAATGAAAATCTTTAATAATGCCCTTCTGTGTAAGTGGATCTGAAGATTTGAGAAGGAAAGGCCCTTCTGTGTAAGTGGATCTGAAGATTTGAGAAGGAAAGAGAACGTTGGTGGAGAAACTTGATTGCTGAACCTTAGGCTATGTTTGGTTTAAAGGAAAAAGTAGGGAAAGGAGGGGAAACCTTTACAAACCTTGTATGGGTTTCCCTGTCTTACCTTTCCTTTCCTTTCCCTATTTTTTCCTTCAAACCAAACACAGCCTTAGTAGAGGTTCAATCTGGAAGAAAATCAGGGAAATCATTCTGCATCTTAGTAGAGGTTCAATTCCTAAATTAGGTAATGGTCAAAGGCTGAGTTTTTGGAAAGATAATTGGTGCAACAGCAGTTCCTTAGCAGAATTATTCCCTCAACTATACCAAATTGCAGAGAATCAGAATGTGGTACTGGCCGAGTGTTGTGAAGTAAGTGACAGCACTATCTCCTGGTGGCCTTCCTTCCGAAGACACTTCCAAGACTGGGAAAATGAAAAGGTGGCAGAGCTGCTCTGTAGTCAGACACTGGACCTGAACTCTGAAGATAGTTGGAGCTAGAGTTGGAGTGCAGATGGGATATTTTCAGTCAAATCTTTTGCCTGGAAGCTCTCTGAAGGAAACTGAGCTGATGCTCCTGCCTCTAAAATTTGGAACCCATTACCCCCATCCAAAGACAATGCTCTGGTATGGGCTGTAGTGTTGGACGGCTGCTTAACAAAAGTGAACTTGGCAAAAAGAGGGGTCATTCCAAGATCTGCTTTGTGTGCTTTGTGGCCAAGCAGGGGAGGATAACAACCACTTGTTCCTCCATTGCCCTGTCTCCTCTGCTATTTGGGGGCACTTTTTATCAACCTTGGGGTTAGCATGGGTCATGCTGAACTCTTTGCTGGATCTGTTTTGGTATGATGTTTTCTTGCTTCATCATCCATGTGCTTCACCTTGTGCCTTGGGTGTTAGAAAGCCCCACACTTTTCTCGTGCCCGTTGCTTTCAAAACATTGGTCTAGATCTTTTGTTGGAAGATTATGACTAGAGTTATTTTTCTTGACAATATAATAAAATGACTAAATACTATAAATCAAGAAAAATGCATTTTAGGGTTTTTGAAATGTCTAACAATGCACCTGGCATGCATATGGGCATATTCTGTAAATTTCCTCGACAGAATGGTAACTGAGTGGGTTATCTGATTATTGGATGAAAGTTTTGGGGAGGGGGATTTTCAAAAGTGGGGGGTGGGGGTCAAGAGCCAATGTTTTGAAGGGTCCTTGGAGTTTACTTTTTTAATTGTTTTTGTATTTTTAGGTAATAGAGGTACTGCCAATCTGTCATAGCTTTTCTGTACTTATTTTATGATTTTTTTTATTTTTGAGTTGTTAGTAGTTTGCCTAGTTTCATTAGGAATTGGTTAGTAGGTGTGTCTGGTTGGCAGCCAGCATCGAAACATTTGCCTAACTCTTGTGGTCATGGTAGGATAAGACCTAAATGATGATAATTAGGAGTTAGTTTATTTCTTACCTATGTTGCAATATCCTAGTCCTTACCCAGCTAGGATCTGCTCTATTCCTGTTTAGTTTCATAATTAGTTTCTTAGCCAGTCATCACCCTCACTCAGTGATTTAAAAGGTGCGCCTAGGCACACAGGCAAGGCACATTTTAGGGTGCGCCTCGCCCAGGTCCTAGGCGCACGCCTTTCTAAAATTCTGCACTTTATGCTTTTTTTGAGCTTAACGGCTGGGCTGGGGGTCCGCTCCTGGACCCCCGACTGTGCCCCTTGAGGCTTTTTTTTTGATTTTTTTAGCTTTTTCTGTATTTTTGCACCTTGCTTCAAAAAGGTGCACGCCTCACCTTGCGCCTTGCGCCTCAGGCGCAAATTGGCCCCTGCACTTTTTTTGCGTCTTGTGCTTTAAAACACTGCCCTCACTATACCCTTTTTGATCCTTTGATGGAATATGACATTCATTGATAGAAAATTTGGTTTGTAGGGGACAAGTGATTAAATCTTAATTTTTTTATTGGTTGACAAGCCTTCTTGTTGAAGGCCATTTATTGGGTTGCTGACATTACTCTGCTGTCTTGCAACTCAAGTTGAAGCCTCTGTGTATCTATGTTCAAAATTTTGTATTTTCAATCTTGTACTGATAATTTTCTTTGTATTGAATCTAATTTGCCTTTTCTTTTCTTCAAAAGGGGCTGTTGCTATTCTTCTTCTTCTGGCTGTTGCAATTCTCTGCGCATACGAACTCTGTGCTGTATATGTCACAGCAGGTTCAAATGCATCCAAGCGCTATTCACCCTCAGGCTTTTTCTTTGGTGTATCAGCAATTGCTTTGGCAATCAACATGCTCTTTATTTGCAGAATGGTCTTCAATGGTAATCATTTGCTCATGCTGATTTTAATTTAAATGTTTACCAAATTAAAGGACATGCATCATTTATTACATGGCATGACCATACTTACACTAAGTGGTCGTCAAAATGGTACTGATTAAAATGAAGCAATAACCCAATGTTGGTTGTAGCTATCTGGGGTCTTGGGAGTGGTGGACTGGATACGGACCTAACCTTTGGCAATCTTTTTCTCAAAATGGTTCCAGATAATCTCCTAATCTCCTTAATGTATGTATTCCTCAGGTACTGGCTTAGATGTGGATGAGTATGTTAGGAAGTCATACAAATTTGCTTATTCTGATTGTATTGAAGTGGGACCAGTGGCTTGCTTACCCGAACCACCAGATCCGAATGAATTATATACTCGGAAATCTAGTAGGCAAGTCCTTGATATTTCTTTCTTATAGACTGTCTCATTTTTTTAATATATTGATCAACCAACATTATTATTTCCATTACAAGTGTTTCAGAGGTGGTTGGAATTGTAATTGTTCTAGTAACTTGTTATTTCTTGCAGTGACCAGTTTTTTGGTTAAGATGGGTATAGAACATTTTCAGTAGTATTTTACATATCAGAAGCATTGATATGCTTTCAGTGTATAGGGCCATGGTTCTCCCAAAACTAAATTTCATTTCTTTCAATCTCTTCTGATCTAACTCTTTTACAGGGCTTCACATCTTGGACTTCTTTATCTTGGGTCTTTGTTTGTACTTGTTGTATACTCCATATTATATGGATTGACCGCAAAGGAGTCCCATTGGTTGGGGGCCATTACATCAGCTGCTGTTGTTATTCTAGGTATGCTCACCATTTTTTTATTATACATATGCACCCAAACATGCATATACCCAAGGAATGCATGTATTTGTACATAAGATGGACACATGGATAATGGCATACAATGCATTATTTGTATATGTGAATATTTGTCATACATTTGTGCAATTTTCTTTGTATATGTTCTTGCTTTGCTATTTTTGGTATTGTTTAATATTTAAATTGGTTCAATTGATCCTTTGATAGATTGGAACATGGGTGCTTGCTTGTTTGGGTTTGAACTTCTCAAGAGCCGAGTTGCAGCACTATTTGTTGCTGGAACTTCACGTGTTTTTCTCATCTGCTTTGGAGTGCATTATTGGTTTGTTCTGGACTCAATTTTATTTTATTTTTTATTTTATTGCACGCGATTGGAATTTATTAGTTTATGTTATTGTTTCTATACTTATGGTTCCATTAACTTTTTCTGTTTTCTTCAGGTATCTTGGACATTGTATTAGTTATGCTGTTGTTGCATCTGTGCTGTTAGGGGCTGCTGTTTCTCGCCATCTATCAGTCACAAATCCATTAGCTGCAAGGAGAGATGCACTACAGAGTACAGTAATTCGCCTTAGGGAGGGGTTCAGACGTAAAGGACAGAATAGTTCATCGAGCTCTTCTGAAGGTTGCGGGTCTAGCGTGAAGCGTAGCAGTAGTGTTGAAGCAGGTCCACTTGTTAATGGTATTGAAACCATCTCTAGAAGTACAACACTTTGCGCAGGTGATGCTAGTAGTTGGAATAATGCTATTCTAGGTAGAACTGCTAGTTCTCATGAAGGTATTAATAGTGATAAGAGCATGGATAGTGGAAGGCCAAGTTTAGCATTGCGTAGTAGTTCCTGTCGTTCTGTTGTTCAAGAATCTGAGGTTGCAATTACATCTGTTGATAAACAATTTGATCATACCAACTCTTTTGTGGTCTGTTCTAGTGGTGGCCTGGAAAGCCAGGGGTGCGAGTCAAGCACTTCAACTTTAGCCAATCAACAGGCATTGGAGTTAAATTTATCTTTTGCCTTCCAAGAGAGTCTGAATGATCCCAGGGTTACTTCTATGTTGAAAAGAAGGGCAAGGCAAGGTGATCATGAATTGGCTAGCCTATTGCAAGATAAAGGACTGGATCCAAATTTTGCTGTTATGTTGAAAGAGAAGGGATTGGATCCCACTATTCTGGCATTACTACAGAGAAGTAGCTTAGATGCAGATAGAGATCATAGAGACAATACAGATATCACTGTCATTGACTCAAACAGCCTAGACAATACCATCCCCAACCAGATTTCATTGTCAGAAGAACTGAGGCGCCATGGATTGGAAAAATGGCTAGATTTCTCTAGATTTGTTTTGCATCAAATAGCAGGTACCCCAGAGCGAGCATGGGTTTTGTTTAGTTTTATATTCATCCTTGAAACAGTTGTTGTGGCCATTTTTCGTCCAAAGACAATTAAAGTGATAAATGCCACGCATCAACAGGTGAGAATGACTTTCCAGTTTAGGATATTTTAAAGTCATTAAGGTCTAATATGACAATCGATTTAAATGTTTATGGTGGCTTGGCTTGTGTTTTCAATCCATTGTTGACCTAGCTGGTTGGACCAGTACATGGTGACCTGGTCACAATACTGCATTGGGTTAACCTCCAAGCAGCTATTTTACAAAAACACATTTACTTGGTCAATGACTTCTTTACCTAGATGGTTAACCCGTTGACCACCTGACCCATTCAATTGGTTATTGGGATCTTGTATTATTATTTCTTTTGATTTTTTATGGTATCCTCCTGACCCATTCACCTGTTGGCCTGGGTGGTTGAACAGCTGATCCATATCGAGAGGGCAGAATGGTTCAATATCTGGGTCAGTTTTTAAAGTATTGGGTTTGATGTGTTATTGCTACTATTCATGGAAATTATTGTCTTTGCAGTTCGAATTTGGCTTTTCTGTTCTGCTTTTATCCCCTGTTGTTTGTTCGATAATGGCATTCCTTCGCTCACTTCAATCAGAAGAAATGGCTATGACTTCAAAACCTCGCAAGGTATGCTTCACTGATTTTCAATGTTCACCTTTGGAATTTGGAGAATTTTTTTGGATTTTAGGAGCATTATTTGCACTTGCTTTTTCCAGTGTCTTTTGACATTGGTGTCCTTTTTTTGAAGAAAAGTGTAATATTTCATTAGTATGCAAAATATGTACAGTATTAGAGCTGCACAATACTATACTTGCAACTGTAGTGTGCCTCCCTATACAATTGACCGTCTTACATTAGATACAAAATGTGTATTATTACAAATTACTATAGAAACATCTTTAAAACATTTCTGCGTAGCCACCTAAGAGTAAATTTTGCCCCCACAAAAGTCTTGTTATCTTAATTCTGGTTTGCTTGTTCTTTTTCTATATTAATTTATTCTGGTTGATTACAAAAATAAAGCTTATTGTTGATTAAAAGAGCAAACTTGTTAAGAATTGAAATGTGGGCAAAGAGTATGAACCAGTGAAATAAGAGAAAAGAATAACATACCATGGGATTTGAGGCTAAAATGCTCTCGTTGACGATTAAAGAAGTTCTCCCATCTATAATCAACCAAGCTCAAAGGGCTTTCATTCAAGGGTGATCAATAACCAACCAAATCTTGATTGCTAATGAAAGTGTGGAGGAGATGAAAAGGTTAGGGAAAGGAGGTTTTGTTTGTAAATTGGATCTCGAAAAGGTTTATGACTTGGTGGATTGGCAGTTTTTTTAGAAGTGTTGAGGATTTGTATGTTTGGAGAGAGATGGTGTAGATGGATGTTTGGGTGTGTTAGTACCTGCGATTGCTCAATCTTGGTTAATGGAGTGGTGAAGGATTTCTTTCCAGCTTGTAGAGGTGTTAGGCAAGGGGACCCACTTTCACCTTTCCTTTTTACCCTAATAGCTGATGTTCTTAGTAGAGTCATCACTAAGGTCGATAGGGAAGATACTAAGGGGTTGGAGGATAGGTAGAAGTTGGACCCTAGTCACCCATCTTCAGTTTGTAGATGATTTGATGATTTTGTGTGATGGGGGTGATGGCGAGAAGGTAACAAATTTGAAAGAGTTGATTAAAGGATTTAAAAGAATTTCCAATTGGGAATAAATCTAGAAAATAATTGTATAGCGGGCATCAATTTGGAAGGTAGGGAAGTTGAGGCTATTGCAGAGTGCCTTGAATGTTCTATCTCCTATTGGCCTATGTCCTACTTAGGGCTTCCGTTAGGAGAAAACCCTAGGGAGAGTAGGATCACCTTGATAAGAGCTACCTTGGCGAACCTACCTACTTATTTTTTGTCTGTCTTTAGGATACCACCTAGGGAAGCAAAAAAATTGGAGAGGTTAATGAGAGACTTCCTTTGGGAACTAGGACAAAGAAAAAAAGGATCGGGTCATTTAGTGAAGTGGGAAGTCGTGTGTAGAAACAAAGAAGAGGGTGGTTTAGGATTAGGAAAGATGAGTCAGAAAAAATTAGCTCTATTGGGGAAGTGGTTATGGCGTTGGCATTTGGAGAGAGGGAGGCTATGGCACAAAGTGGGGGGAAGTATTAATGGAAGTTCAGAGAATGGGTGGGATGCTGGTGTATCAAGGCAGGCTACTTTGGCAACTCCTTGGAAAGCCATCTATAGTGTTCTTCCCAGTTCCTCAGGTATGTCAGGTACGACGTTAGTTCTAGAAACTCAGTTCATTTTTGGGAGGATATTTGGGTTGGAGATACCCCTTTGAATAACCTTTTCCCCTCACTATTCTTTGTCTCCTTGTATAAGGAAGATGTTGTCTCAAACTTTATCCCACCTGTGGGAACCCCCTTTGATACGAATTGGGATTTTGTCTTTCGTAGGAGGTTAAGGGATGATGAGATTGATTCCCTCTCTAATTTTCTTTGTCTTTTAAATCAGTTTTGTTTGGATCCATGTAAGCCAGGCAAAAGGATTTCGGTTCCCAAGTCTAAAGGTTTTTTTTTTCCTTTTTTTTTCTTGCGCTTCTTTCTTTAACCCTCGGTCTGTGTCCCTCTCAACAGGTTTTCCCTTCGAAAGAAATTTGGTTCTGGCCAGTTCCTCCTAAGATAATGGCATTTTGTTGGGAAGTGTATCATGGGAAAGTGAACACCTTAGATAACTTTCAAAAGAGAAGACCTTTCCTTTGTATCTCACCCAACTGGTGTACACTTCTCTTTGTAAAGATCATGGGGAGGATTGTTACCATCTACTAATGTCCTGTCCTGTTTCTGCAGAATAATGGTTTTGGCTTTTTTCGTTGTTTGGGTGCAGGTGGAACTTGCCAGCCGGAATAAGCATGATTTTTAAACCCTCTACATTCATTTGACCTTAAAAAAGAGGTAAAAATATGTGGAGATGCGCTGGAGCAGCCTTGATCTGGACAATTTGGGAAGAAAGGAATGCTAGAATATTCCAAGAGAAGGAATAGTCAGGTTTTAAAGGAATGCTAGAATATTCCAATACATTGGTTAAAGACCATGGAACTGTTCCATCAATTCTCCTTTACAGACTAATTGAGAAATTGGTTAGCAGTAGCAAGGTGTTCATCCAGTAAGGCTAGGGCAGTTACAAGATGGATCCCGCCGCATGAAGGCTTATGAAGATGAATTTTGATGGGAGAAGTCATGGTAATCCAAGACACTCTGGAATGGGGAGTGTGCTGAGAAACGAGCTTGAAGAGTTTGTACTCTACTCAGGTCCTCTGGGATTTGGGGATTCAGTGAGGGTAGAATTACTAGCAGCCCTAGAAGGAGTGCAATTTGCAAATCAACTGGGTGTAGGGCAGCTACTGATTGAAGGGGACTCCAAGGTGGTGGTGGGGTGGTTGAAGAATCCCGAGGATATTATATGGTGCTACAAGAATTAAATAAAAAAGTTTCAGTGGCTGACAAGGAATATGTCTGTTCTTATACAATGGGTGGGGACTGGGGAGATCAGCAAATGCTTTGGCTGATGGTTTAGCTAAGCAAGGGGCAATTAGGGAAGTCTTGTTTTGGGCTCAGCTGTAATTCTTGTTCTTTCTTCTTTCTAATTTCCTTGTAATTAGTTGGGAGAGGCTGCAGCTCACGCCTCACCAAGGGCTATTGTATGAGATTAAAGTTTTCTATTACGTTATGTAGTAATAAAATTTTTCTTTGTTTACAAAAAAATAAATAAATACCTGGCTCAAAGCATTATTTTAAAATTTTTGTGATTGGTAATTTATTTTGGAAACCACTTTTATTTTATTTTATTTTTGCTCAATAACTGTATTAGTAATTTTATTAACATTTCATCAAAGTATATGCTTAGCGTTGGGCTTATAAATACAAGAAGCAGAACCTTTCAGGGGCCCTCCCTTGAGACCAGACCTAACAAGTATGTTGCCCAGATACTGCAAGGCCTTCGCTGGATAAGATGCTTGTTATGGAATTTACCATGGTTCAAAGTTTGACAATTCACAAATGGATCTAATATGGGATGGATATTAATGTTTAAAGCCATTAAAAGGCCCTAAGTCTCAGTATTTCATCTATTGATGACCAGATGACCCTGAAAATTGATGCTTGATAGGGCCTCCTTGTATAGTTGTCCAAGTATATCCCTAGAAATAAATTTACTGGTGTCTTCCTGTGAACAATCATATGCCCTGGGCCTTATAAGAGTACACGTGGCATATCCTTTTTTAGGAATCCTACAATCTACCTTGTTTTTTTCACATATTTGTCTTTCGTTGAGTTTTGTGCTCTAGACCTTGTAGTAGTATTGCTGCTGGGGTCTGGTTTTCTTTAGTTATAGCTGTTTTTTCATTTGTTTGTTTATTTTTGTACTTGAGAGGGTGGTTTTATTATGCCTTGTCATCAGGTTTATGATTCTAATAATCTTGATCAAAGGGAAAAAGCCTGTGTAATGAGTTGGAAAGTACCAATTCTTTTTGTGCATAATCACTTTGTTTTCATGTTAGGATGGGTGTTCCCGGATTTGGAGTTTTGATTAAAGAGAAGCTAGATTCCTGTGACAGTACACTGTAATGTGTTGTAGATTTGATTGATTCTTGGAAGAGAGATGGAAAAATGGTGTTTAAGTGCCCTTTTTTCCAAGCTGATTAGGATTCTGCACTTTTTATAGGAAGAGAGGCTGAGAAATGGTGGTTAGAGGGTTTAAGTAGAACACATATTTCTGAATATTCAATTGTTTTGGGTGAGGTAGTTAAGCTCATGAGAGGAACACATTTTTTGGTAGACTGGTGAACTTAAGTGGATAATATTGTCAAGGTTTAGTGACTTTGGTGGGAGGAGGGAGCCCCCATAGTGAGAAAGAGCGAAAATGGGGGGGGGGGGATCTGGAGGGAACTATTTGAAGATCGAAGGTGAGTTGGTTGCAAAAAATCTTGGGTGAATGGATTAAGAATGTGATGGAAACACTGCCGACATTTTGTTGGTATTCCAGTTGTTTTAAAAAAAAAGCATTGCTAAGTGTGCCACAGATGAGGATATCTTCTGCCTTGTACTCTTTGTAGGTGTTTGAGGTTGAAGGCATTATATGAATCAAGACTTGAGAAGGGTGTTCATGCAACAAAGTCAGGGAAATTGTTTTCATGGTCAAAGGTAAAGCTCTTCGATCCAATAGTTTTCCCATGCCATTCTATTAGTAGTGATTGGGATGTGGTGAAGTGGAACTGCTGCTAGTGTTTTGTCCTCCATGTTAGGTATCGTGAACAACACAAATAATATTATTTGTTGTTGTTGTTGTTATCATTTGATGTTGCTCCCTAAGGTGGTTGTAAGGGCATGGACCAGAAACAGTTTGGGTGATCCGAGAATCTGAGAATGAGATGGCCGGATCTGAATGGGAATGGAAATTAGTTGCCGCCCCCTGGAATGGCTGTGCTATGTACCCATCCGGAGAGGGATCAGGCTGCTGCAGTTCCTGCTGAAGGTCGGTGACTCGGTGATGGGTGAACAAAGAGAAAGTCTGAGAGAGGAGAGGGAGAAGGAAGAGAGAATTTGGGTCCCCCTCCTATTTATATTTTTCTTTCTTTTAAGAGTCTTTCTGGAATCTTCTAATAGTTTTGTCAATGCATCATGGGTGGCCAGCTGTCAGCCACTAACTAGTTCATTCTTATACAACTTCATTTAATTTGTTCTGAATTACTGCTTGGTGACCTAGGTTGGTCATTGGACCAGGCTGACTTGGTTTTGATTCAAGATCTACTAAACCCGGTCTACGGTGGTTCATATGCCCATACTCTGACAGAGGGAAAAATGGAGATAAACTGATAAGCCTTGTTGGAAGCATTAAAAAGTTTATGGTGAATGTGTTATCTTGGATTGGATGTGTTCTTGGAGATATCATATTGCATAGGTTTCATTCATTTTAGCAAGTACTAGCATTCTCATAGCCAGCAAAGCATGGAAGATAGAACCAAAAAATTATTGAATGGTGTTTAATAGAACTTGGACCTTAAAAGGCATGCATATTTTGATTAGATTTTCTTAATTCTGTTGCTCAAGGTTAGGTGGTGGAAGCCTTCACTAGATGCTTAGAGGGGGTGTCAAAGCTTTGCAGTAATATGGGGGCCCCTTTGGGAGGGCTTCAGTATTTATTGAGCTGCGATAGCCAAGCCGCTTGTGAGAGACTACCAAAAATAGCTTCACTGGAAAGTTGATTTCTCAGTTCATGTAACCCTATTTTTGGCTTCTGTGCTTTTTCACAAACATGACTTAATGGCTTCTGTGTGGGGCGTACCTTGCAATGCCAGAAGTTGCTGTGTGAAAGCCTCCTAATGGGCACTGGGAGTTGGGGCTATTGGAGTGTAGACATTTGATAAACGCCTTATTTAGTAATGTGGGTTGGGGTGGAGTATTCACGGGACTGTGTTCATGTTTCATGGCTGATTCTTTTGATTGGTCAAAGTCCATGATATTGGGCATATGTGACTTGTTGGAAAAATGCATGGAAATAGCAAGGTAGAAGAGGTGATATCAATTATTGGGTGGTTTCAACCTTGGTGCTGTTGTGCTGGTTCCTTTTGTACCTTTTAGATATTTGATTGCCGTTGCTGCTCAAAAATAAGGAGAAAACTCTTTGTCCTTACAAATTTAGACTAGAAAAAGTGGCAATGGGTTTAGTAGGCTGAAAGTTGCAGTTTAACTTTCTGAAACCTGACATTAATGGTACTGCATTCTTGGGGAACTGGTTGTGAAGGTGTAAAAGAGGCACTTGAGGAATTGGTTCATGTAATATTGGTTATGATCCTCATCTAATATCTGCTTGATATGTTGTCTGTATGGAAGGGTTAATATTTACATATGAGTAACTCTTTGTCACTTGCATTGTATGCATTTAATTTTTTTTCGATGGAGACTCATATTTTGTCTTTTTTATCAGTGGGACTTATATTTTGCCTTGACATTTTATGTTTCCTTTTTCTTTTTGGGTCATATATTTAAATACTTGTTCTGACATTATTTCCCATTTTATGGTGCCTAACTTGTTACCAAAATTTCAGTATGGTTTCATTGCCTGGCTGTTGAGCACCTGTGTAGGCTTGCTGCTTTCCTTTTTGAGGTATGATACACCCTTTCTTCAATTCAATGATCAGTTGTCATTTCTCTAAATTTTTCTATGTTGTGATGGCATTATTTCATCTAGCTCTACTCTATGTTCTAAATAGGGCGAGGTTTTTTCTTTGTGCTACAACTATTATCTCTGAATTGGGTGGTTATCTATGTGGTTTTATTCTATCTGAACTCGCAAGTTCTTCTTGGTCTTTTTGTGGAGTATGTATAGAGGATTTGGAGTATTCATCTGTTAAGAGACCCACTGGAAGCCACTGTTTTGGACTTACACCCCAGGATATATTTCACTTTTTTCCTGCTTATATATAAATGGTTACCCCAGGATTATATTTCTAATTCTTGATCTTTTTCTAGTAAATAGTTGCCTCTTTTGGCATGTGGAATGGACTTCTCTGCTGATATTTTCCACATGGAAAGTGGGTGATCTGGAAGTGCATGTTTTTCTTCTTTTGGGCTGCAACTGCAATTTTTCTTTGTAAAGTATTGGAGTGTCCTAGACTGATCTGTTTTCTATAATCAGTGAATGCTGCCTCTTATTAATGCACTCATTTCTAATTCTTCTAATGTGGCTCTGCCACTTATGTCTCATTTTCCTTATCTGTGCAAAATATCCCATGAACATCTCCATTTTTTCCACCTGGATTAATTCCATGGGCAACATACCCTTTGAGATCTCCCTTACAGTGGATTAGTAAACAATGTAGTGAAATGGCCACTCTTATATTTACCAATAACATATCAGGAGTTTTATTATAAGCTCAAAACTCTTCAAAGTTCTCCCACACTACCAATAAAAACGAGTGCAGAGTCCCATACTATGAGAACCAAGATACCTAACATTACCTTAACCCCATATGACAAAATCAGGATTTACCCTTAGGGAGAGACCCATAGTACCGGTCTCTATGCCCAACAGGTCCTCTAAATGATGAATGTGCTGCATTACTAGCTAATATTTGGACTCGCTTGAAGAGATGTTCACATTTGAGGTAGTGTTCCAGCTGCCTAATGACATTGTGAAGGGCCATGGGCCCTTATTTTTCCTACCTAGCATTCAACCATCACTTGGGAGATCTCTTCTGCTAATGCATTGGTACAGCTTGAGTAGCCATCAGCCATAGGACTGAAGAAGCAACACAATCTGAATATGAATAAAGTCCTCCAAAAGACCTCATATTTTACTTTTAACATTTGAATATCTATTATGATGGATAATTCGGCAAGAGGTGATTGCTGCTGAAGGGTATGCTTCTTCTAGTCAATGAAGAGGCTATTAATCTACACTCTCATGGTGTCATTGCCTTGTTGGTGCCGGGACCTCTTAACTCTTGTCTTGTGTGAAGCCAATAAACTAACCCGAGGGTTATCAAGTCCTCATATGTTTCTTCATTGTTCTTTTTTTACAAAATGATTGTGGCTTTTTTCCCCCAACCAAATTGACCACACTACCTTCTCTTGGACACCTTTACATAGTTTTTACTTTTTTGTTCCATCCAAGGGCAGAAGAAAGGGGGTAAACTTGTCTTCAGGTCTTATTGATGGTATCCATCTGGCTCCAAACAAAGAAAAGAAATGCTCCTAAAAATTATATACAAATGTAAAGAAGATTTTGTCCCTTGTTTGGATGGTGTAGAATGGAAAGGTAGTCCTAATAGAATGATTGTGGTGGATAAAAATTATAACGGTGAGACTTGTTATCGTTTATTAATCTCCTGCCCCTTTGAAAGTTCTATTTGGGATTGGTTTCTTCTTTGTTTGGGTGTAGGTGGACTCCCCCACCAAATGTACACAGCTTGTTTGCCTCTACATTTGCTACTTGGCCTAAGAAGAGGGGGAGAATTCTATGGAGGTGCACAAGAGCGGTTGTTTATTGGACAGTTTGGGAAGACAGGAACTTGAGAATTTTTGAAGATGAGGAAAGAAGTTGTGCTGAATTAATTTAAGTAAGCATAATAAGAGTAGTTCACTGGTATAGTTGCTTCAACTGTTTGATGATGTTCCATTGGTTGATTTGCATAGAAATTGCATGGTGGTGGCTCCTTCGGGTCCGGTTAAGGCTGTTACAGTTCCTATTTGGTCTCCATCCATTGGTGATCCAATAAAGTTGAACTTTGATTGTAGTAGTGAAGGGAATCCTGGTCCGTTGGTTATTGGAGGAGTATCAGGAATGAAGAATGTAAAATACTATCCTTCTATCCAGGTCCTATTGGTGTAGGTGATTTGTTAAGAGCTGAGGTTTTGGAATGAGTGCAAAGGGGCAAAGTAGTTGAACATTAGAGAGTTGATTGTTTAAGGTGACTCAAAGTTGGTAGTAGGTTGGTTGATAAGGGAGCAAGCTGGATTTTGGTTGCTATCTTAATGAAAGGAAGAGATTAAATGGCTGAAACAAAATATGGAAATATAACCGGAATGGGTTAAAGGGAGTGCTAATTCGTTTGCTGGTGTACTAGCAAAACAGGTGGTGGGAAGAGATCAAATGTTCTGGGTTCTATAGTAAATTTTTGTGTGTAGGAGCTTGTCTCTCCTCTGCTTTACTTGTACTTTGCTTTAATTTTTAATAAAAGGTTGAAGTTATTCATAAGAGGGGGGATAAGGACCTTAATTATAAGAAAGAAATTCAGATCTGAAAAGAGAATAGAGAGGAAGAAATAATGCACCTTTTGAAGAAAGCAAAAGATATAAGCAAGAAGGTTCCATGATATTGTGGATGGAACTCTCACATAAAGAAGCAAGAAAATTGTCAAGTAATTTAGATAGGTGAATTTATGGTATCAATAAAAATGGGATCAAGAAAAGTCCATTTAACATATTAGTGAAAAGCGGTCAGTTTAGATCTGTTAGTTGTCTATCTTTATTCAAGAGGAAATTTATGACTAAGAAATAATGAAGCCAAAATACAGGCAAGTAAATGGATAAAAGATTTAAGCTCTTGGGTTGCCCATGGCGTGGCCCTGTGATACTCCCAATCTAAGAGGCACTCTGAAGGGGCTTAGCAGTTAGCAACTTAGCACCAATTCAATGTAATATTCCTGCCTATGGTACCACCGGCCAAGAGGTTAGCTTGTTCAATAGCTGACTGGCTAACCCATGGGAACCATATATTCCCTATGCTTTTAATGATCTGTTCTCTCACATTCAGTACCGGTAACACCAAGTCTCTTCCCTGCCATCCATCAAGATACCTACCATAATCTCTGAGCCTCCTTCAACCTCAACAGTAGTATACCGTTATGAACACATCAAATTGCAAACCTTTAACAGCATGAAAAGATCACTTAAAAATTCATTCGACAATGCCAACCAGCCTATATCACATCTGTTGAGTTATTGGCAAATTTACATTGCATACAATCGGTTTTACTCCTTGCTTAACTTAAAACATTGACATGCCACATGATAACCATCTTCTGCATGATTGTGGTGGCTATTGTGTGGGGTGTGTGTGTGGTGGTGAAGGATTCTCTTACCCAGATGTGCAGTTTTTTTACCCTTTTCTTTTCTGTTCTTTTTCCTAATGAACAAGAATTTAGTTACATTGTATATGAACAACATTGACATTTGACAACTATTAACCATGATCCCTCAATGGCAGTTGTATTATCTAATTAAATAAACAGGAAATTCTTGTCATTTCTGTCTGGCTTTTAAGCAATCACTTTTTTTTTTTGTAGAGTTTGTGTTACTTCTTCCTATTCTAGTATGTTGCTTTTATGCCTTCTGTGTTTATGTTTTTGTGTTCTCTTCTGTAGCAAATCATCAGTTCTACTTGGCTTGGCTTTGACTGTTCCCCTCATGGTGGCGTGCCTATCTATTGCCCTTCCTATATGGATCCGTAATGGCTACGAGTTTTGGGTTCGACGTGTTGACTGTGCAAGTCATGGGGGAAATCATCAAAATTCTGGGACAAAGGAGGTCTTTGCAGCAACTTTCTGTCTCCTTTACATGACCAATAAAACATTTTTACCTACATCATGCATCTTATTTGTGCTTATACCAGAACTCTTGTATGTATGTATGTATGTATGCCCACTGAAAACTCTCACAATTATGCTGGTATTTGGGAACTAGGCCATTATTTCAGCCCACAATATGAAACTTTTATTTTGTGAATAATGTTGCAAGTTGCATTGGCAACATTTACCGACTTTTTAACCTTCACCGGTTGTCTATTTGGTGGATAGAATGTAATACATCTCTTAATGTTGTACCAGTTATGTGACATGGGCTCCTGAATAATGGAGTACTTGGTGCTGGCTGGTTAGGCAAGAACCAAGCCACTTGACTGCCTTTTGGATTTTACCTTATAGGTTGTGTTATGGTTATAGAACTAAGGACTTTTTGATGGGTCTGCCTCCCCTATATGTCACTACATAGTGCTTCTATACTTTATTGTATAGGGTGCATAATTGCATTTTGAGTGGCTCTTTGCCCCATGTCTCACCACATGGTGCAGTTTCGATTACTGGATGCCACTGCTTAGGTGGTGCAACCTAAGAAATTACCTTAGGCAAATATAATCATGAATAATTACATTTAATACATGTCCCCAGACTCCCCACTTCCCTATTCCTTGATAATTGTTGTGATGTGATCAAGCTGATTTCATGGTACATTGTTGTAATCATTTGATGCTAGGGCCTGATAATGTGGATGTGTTTGAAATATTATGGGGCCCCAAGACCCATTTGTGAGTGCTGGGTTCTGCATAACGACATCTAGTATGCTTCCAATTTTGATATTTGTAATGGACATATAATATAATTTGATGCAATGTAATATAATGTGTTATGTTGTTTTATATAATATTATATGTTAGAATGTTGAAGAATTTAAGTGTGGCAGAAATGCTTTAATGTTGTGAATTGTGATGGATGAGTGGGAAAGCTAGAATGTATTGGATCAGAAATGAACTTATGGAAAGGATGTAGCAGTAGTTTCAGTAAGTGATAAAATGAGGGAAAGTAGACTAGGGTGGTTTGGTCAGGTGCAGAGAATAACATTTACATCACCATTAAGAAGTGATCTATTAGACACTGAAGGGGCTAAAAGAGCTTGGGGAAGACCAAAAAGGACATGGGCTGAAATGGTGAGATGATTTAAGGGTCCATAATATAACAATGGATATGGCACAGAACAGGACAGAATGGCAAAACTGGATTCATGTTGCTGACCTGATATGGTTGGGACAAGGTTAAATAATGATGATGATATTCTAAAATAGTTAGGTTGTTCTATTGTGGCCCTTCTGTGATAATGTTGAAGACCCTAGAGAAAAAAGTGCATACAGCACACTGAAAGAAAGCAAAACAGGCATAAAATGTTAAAAAACATGTTCAGTACTTATTGACGTGCATATGCCACTGATATATATTATACGTTCATTTAAAGACATTTAGTTCCATTGTGCTCTTATTTTGATTTTCTTAACTTGGTTCTTAATTGGCTGCGTTTGCTGTGGGCTAATTTCTGCCACTTTTTAATGAGGAGGCACACAAATCTCTGCTGCCCTGTATTTGTTCACTATAAGTTAACAATATATATGATTTGCAATCTTTGCCCCTCATGTTTTGATGGAAGTAGTTTTGGACTGGACTTGGGTAGTGGATATCATGGTGGGTGTCCTCATAACAAATCAAGGGTAATATTTTATATTATATTATCTACAGTTTCTGCTGGTAATTTGATAGCCAAGATCTGTCAATTTTGTTTCTTTATCAGATAATAAATAGGTGAAAAGCTATAGTTAACATGTAGTTTTTTCTTGGTCCTGCCTGCTTGCAAGGAATAATTTTAGAAAGTTGGAAGACTCAATCACCATGATGCACATACTGCTGAATTGCCACTTAGCATCTTGTTTTGAACTAGTATTTCATAATGTGTATAGTTGTACCATTCAACAACTATTGTGATATTTTTCCTGGTTGGGTGTTAGTGATTCTTTAGAAAGGTCTGGTATATGGACTTCAACAGCGCTGGTTTTACAGTGTAATACCAAAACAAATTTGTTGTATTATGCACTATTTACATGAAGTTAAAAGTTATATTGCGGAAAATTGACATCTGATTAAATTATGTGAACATCTTATGAACTGGATCTTAACTGGATTAAATCGGGGTACAGATTCATCCTGATTAAAAGGGTTGATATTTAAGATCATTATCTTGCTTAATCAGGTTAGGTCTGGAACAAATCCAACTTGATGACCATTCCATTGATAGCCTCACTGCTTGTTGATAAAAAGCAGTTGATACTTTATTTATTTGGTTATAGTTATACTTTCAAAGTTCTCTCTTTTGTTCTCCTGCCAATATTTGTTAAGGAATATCTTTGATATTAAAAGTTTTTATTGTGTGTTTTGAATTTGAAAAGAAACCTTTATTTTTGTCTTCACATCCCTTTCTTGGTACCTTCTCAGGGTATTATTCTTGCTGTTTGCATATTGGTTTTTACTGGATCTCTCTTAGCTCTTGGTGGAATAGTATCTGCAAAGCCTTTGGATGATTTAGGATACAAGGGGTGGACTGGGGACGAGAAAGGTTTCACTTCTCCTTATGCATCACCAGTTTATCTTGGGTGGGCTATGGCTTCAACAATTGCTTTGATTGTTACTGGTGTACTGCCTATTGTCTCCTGGTTTGCAACATATCGTTTTTCTATGTCTTCTGCTATATGTGCTGGAATATTTGCTGGTAAGCTATCTCATGCAAATATCATGTCATTTCTAGTGGTGTTTCTCTGGAGTTTATTCAACTATTTGACTGGTGAGTTTGTGGAAAGTGGAATATAACCCTGGTAGTAATATATATATCTACTCACCTTATCTGGCAGTTGTTCTTGTGGCATTTTGCGGTGCATCTTATTTGGAGGTGGTGAATTCCCGGGATGACCGAGTACCTACAAATGGTGATTTCCTTGCTTCTTTACTCCCATTGGTGTGCATCCCAGCAGTGCTATCACTTTTTTGTGGTCTGCATAAATGGTTAGTAATGGCACGTTAACAGTATGTTGTCATTGCAATAGGGATAATGCTGTTTCTTAAATTGGGTATGAAAAATGTTTACAGGAAGGACGATGACTGGAGACTTTCTAGAGGTGTTTATGTATTTGTTGGTATTGGTCTTTTGCTTTCGCTTGGGGCAATCTCAGCTGTTATAGCTATAGTTAAACCTTGGACGGTTGGTGAAACTTGTCTTGTTTTTTGAATAATCCTAGTTTTCAGATTTAACTGCTTGGATTGATTTGTCCTTGGTTATTTTCTTTCTGTATTGACAGATAGGAGTTGCATTCCTTTTAGTTCTCCTTCTCGTTGTCCTGGCTATTGGTGTTGTCCACTACTGGGCTTCAAATAATTTCTATTTGACGAGGGCACAGATGTTCCTAGTTTGCTTCCTTGCATTTCTTTTGGCTTTAGCTGCATTTGTTGTTGGATTATTAGATGGTGAGAATGTCAGCTTTTTCTATTTCATATTTTTCCTACCCCCTAAACGTTGCTTATCAGATGAAATCACTATTCTGTTGGTTTCTTTGTTAACATTGTTGACAAAATTATTTATTTGCAGATAAACCCTTTGTTGGGGCAAGTGTTGGTTACTTCTCATTTCTGTTTCTTCTTGCTGGGAGAGCATTGACTGTGAGTATCATTGCACTCTGTTGAAACAATTATTGAATCTGTATAATTTGGCATTGGGTTATTGTATCTTTGACTTTTTATCTTAGTTGTTGGTCTTAATGGTCATCTTCTCTCTGACAAGTATTTATTTTTTTCAGGTGCTGCTTTCACCTCCAGTTGTAGTTTATTCTCCAAGAGTGTTGCCTGTGTATGTTTATGATGCACATGCTGATTCTGCAAAAAATGTCAGGTTTGTTGTAAAGCATTTTCTGTTTACTTGAATGTTAGTGATCTTATTGTTGGTTATCCTGTGTTCTATCATTTGCAGTCAATTTCTTTGTTTGGTTTATTTGGCATCCAGTATTAATTTATTTCTTTTATCTTATTGGACCTCCGTCAATTGTTGGGCAGTGCTGCATTTCTTGTTCTATATGGGATTGCATTGGCCACTGAGGGCTGGGGTGTTGTTGCTAGTTTGATAATTTATCCACCATTTGCTGGGGCAGCTGTATCAGCAATTACACTTGTTGTAGCTTTTGGGTTTGCTGTATCTCGTCCTTGCTTGACACTGAAGGTTGGTCCCTTCGACTGTATGGCTTTAGGGTGAATGTTCTGTGATGCATTCTTTTAATGTTTGTCTTATGTAAAGTCATCTATTTCTATCTGATAGCATTCCACTCATTTCTTATCACCAGATGATGGAGGATGCTGTGCATTTTCTCAGTAAAGAAACTGTTGTTCAAGCAATTGCTCGATCAGCAACTAAAGTATGTTTGCTTATGCTCTGAGATGGCTTGAATTTACAGAGTATATTTTCTTTTTTTTTTCCAGATTGATAAATCCCTTTATGAACATCATCGTTCCCATATCTTCTTAGTTTGTTATTTGAATCTTGAAGCAATCCAAGTACAATTGAAGTACTGGGTTTTCAATCAGAGAGCATTCGGGACTGAAAACAAGATTGTCAAGTGTGAAAACAGTTGGAAAGTCACAAAGCTAGGCCTGGTTAATGTCTTGATGAATGGGTTTGAAGGAGAATGTTTTAAGATTGAAATCCTGACTAGTACAAGGTCTTTAAGAACGTAATTGTCTGCTTGGGTTGATGATTCATAAACTGATCAACCATCAGCTTCAACAAATTCCTTTCAATTGTAGGGCTTCAAATTTAAACAATGGTGTTTCAAGGTTGTCTAGCCTCTTTTCTAGGATTGGATTTGGAATGTTTTCTGTTTATAGGTGTAACGTGGGCCGTGCCAAAATTTAGACAAATAAATATATGAATAATATGTGTAAATGCACATAATATTTATTAATAATATATACATAATATATATTTATATATTATTAATGTGGGTTGTGCCAGGCCGTGCTGAGCCAGGCATGTGGGCCGTGACAGCCTGTGGGCATTGAACCCTTGGTCCAGCCTGGTCCTGGGTTATGGACTATGCATGGCACGGCACTGCACGGCATTGTAGCACCGCAGGCCGTGCTGGCCCATGGCTGGCCTGATCTGTTTTATGCCTTTACTGTCTATGGTTGAAACTTGATTTTTATTTCTGTTTATGTCAAATTTTATTCTTATTTGAATTTCAGATGTGTTAAGATCAATGTTTAAACTTGTATAGAATCTCTTGGATTTATTGTTTTTGTGGAACTAATATACATGTGCGTACGCATATATTTGAACATACTGATAATTAGATCCAAGGTTTTCGAGAACCTTTGGAGCATACACGATAGTTTTAGATCCATTAATTTAACAATGGATATAGCACTAAACGGCTTGGAATGGCAAGACAGGATTCATGTAGCTGACCCTATATAGTTGGGATACGTCTTAGATGATGATGATGATAAAACTGAATCTCATTCATATTAGGTGCAAATGGTTTTTGATTAGCAGTGGCTTTTTGGCACTGCTTATGATGATCCTGACATTCCTGACATACTCAAAAAGTAGATATTTCACTTGCTATATCACAACTAATTCCAGAGAATTACTCCACTGCCTCTGAAGCTCTTGTAATTTATTGCAGCTGCATCTAGCTGTTATATTTACTCTTGTGATTAATTTTGTTAATCTGTTTAACCTTGCAGACTAGAAATGCTATTTCTGGAACTTATTCTGCACCACAGAGGTCAGCTAGTTCGGCTGCTCTTCTAGTTGGTGATCCTACTGTTATGCGGGACAGGGCAGGGAATTTTGTTCTTCCAAGAGCAGATGTTATGAAATTGAGAGATCGCTTGAGAAATGAAGAATTAGCTGCAGGGTTATTCTTTGCCAGAATGAGAGTTGGTAGGACATTCCGGCATGAATCATCCAGTGATGTGGGACACAGGAGGGAAATGTGTGCTCATGCACGCATTCTGGCATTAGAAGAGGCAATTGATACAGAATGGGTGTACATGTGGGACAAGTTTGGTGGTTATTTGCTTCTTTTGCTTGGTCTAACAGCTAAAGCAGAGCGGGTGCAGGTGAACAAGAATGCTAATGATTTTCTATATAAGTTGTTTATATTTTAGTTGTTGTAGTTGTATTATGGGTTATCCTTTTGCTATGGCAGGATGAGGTCCGTTTGAGACTGTTTCTTGATAGCATTGGTTTTTCGGACCTAAGTGCTAAGAAGATTAAGAAATGGTTGCCTGAAGACCGCAGGCAGTTTGAACTTATTCAGGAGAGGTGCATATATATTCTTGAATTGCATGCTTGTGCAGTTTTTCATCCAAGCTTATCTTATTGTTGGCCGTTATTTTTTTTTTTCTAATTTTATATTATAATTGTTGTAGCTACATAAAGGAAAAAGAGATGGAAGAGGAAATCTTAATGCAGAGGCGTGAAGAGGAAGGCAAGGGAAAAGAGAGAAGGAAGGCACTTTTGGAGAAGGAAGAACGTAAATGGAAAGAGATAGAAGCTTCTCTAATATCCTCTATTCCAAATGTTGGTAGTAGGGAGGCTGCTGCAATGGCAGCTGCTGTTCGTGCTGTGGGTGGTGACTCTGTTTTGGATGACTCTTTTGCTCGAGAGCGGGTTGCCAGCATTGCTCACCGTATTCGCACAGCTCAGCTAGCTCGTAGGGCACAACAGGTTGGTTTTCTTTTATCAAGAGTTAGAATGTGCTTCTAGAATTGGGTGAAGAGGACAAGAGCAGACAAGCTTATATACATGCTGTATAGTTATGTGTCATGTTGTTTTGTTTACTTTGTTTTTTCTTTCCTAACCTGGCAGCATAATGACTATTATCTCATTACACTCATGGACCAAAGTTTTCTTGGCTATGCCTGATTGGGAAGTTGATAAAGGTTCTGAAATGCTTCATGAAGTATTTTGTTGCCACACCATTTATCTTTGCAAAAACAAATCTGGTTCCCAACACCTAGTAAATAAAGCAAAATCTGCAAGCCACAATGAAGTAGGTAGATTAGCAACCGATGAGATTGAGAAGATTCACAAGAGAAACAATATGGCTTCGTTGAGAAGAACAACGGTGATCGGTGCGAAGATGCTCAGTTTGGAAATACAAGCAGATGAACGAGAAGCGATTGAGGTGACGGAAAGGAGTGGAGGAGCCTGGACGAGACTGACTCTAACTTTCGAGGAAGTGAAGTGGTGGAGAAACTTCATTCAGAAGGTGCTCAGGAACCCGAATTGTTCACTGGAGGATAAAAACCGAAATGAAAAGGGTAGAGTTCTCATCCTTGAACTGAAAGAGAACAAGTTGGGTAGGTAGGTTCATCCGCTTGAGTAGTTGGGAAAAAAATTATAAGTTGAGAAACATATGCTCACCTAAAGAGCCATCCAGTGGAGGCTAGAAGCGGTTCGAAAGCTTGCTAAACACTCTAGTTCCCTCAAAAGAAAACCTTGACCACCCGACCTCTCCTTGAGCTCTTCCCTCAGCTTGAGAAAATAAGTAAAGTCGTAAAGGCAAGAGGGCCTTCGTTCATTTCAGTTGACCAAGATAAAACCATTTGGCAAGTGGAAGCAAGCGTTCGTTTGTACCAAACCGGGAACACTTTCGTGGAGAGAAGTGGAACCAGGACTCTTAGCTAACCTCCGTACCCATGAGCTTGTAAGACTCCACCCAGTTGAAGTTCAAATCAGCCCCCTAGAAGATTGTCCCCCACAACGTCCCACAACACATCCCCGCCGTGTATTGAGAACATCTCCCGATGATGACATCATCATTTTTGGGATTGTCATCGGGAGATGTCCCCAATACACGATGGGGATGTGCTGTGGGACGTTGTGGGTGGCTGATTTGGTCTTAACTGAGCCTATTCCTAAAACTCCTAGCTCGGGAAGACACAACAGAAAGATTTACGTACCTCCTTCATCACCAAATAGTACAAACTCCTCAATCTTTGAATCAGAGGGCACCAATGGAGTTGAGGATTTGAGCTCTTTGTGACAAAGGCCGAACCAGATCCTAGGGAGGTGGAGTTCTCAAGGGCCAAAGACCTTTTCACTGGTAAGGAAGTTTAGGGAAGTGTAGAATTGTTCGAACAGACTCATTTGGTTAAACCCTGAGTACAGGATTGATTGTGAGCCAACAAGCCTAGAGAGAGAGAGAGAGAGAGAGAGAGAGAGAGAGAGAGAGAGAGAGAGAGATCGAGGACGAGACTCACATTCCTTTTAAGTATTCATGTTTCTTCTTCTAACCATGGATCTCACTGTTTTCCCCCTTGTACTCTAGATTCGAACAGAGAGCTTTCCCAACCGAGCGTTAACCCAAACTTCCAAGAAAAGTTGGAAAATGGGCATCACAGTTTGGGCAAACATGTAAGGAATGCTATCTTGGAAGAAGGCATAACCCATATGGCTAGGAATTTGGGGATAAGCGAAGAAAAGGGAATTTCTCACAATCAGACTCCAAAAAATGGGAACCGTGGAAATCAGAAGGTTATGTTTGTGAACATCGGAAAGAGGAACTGTAAAAGGGAATTAAAGAGACTTCAATGGAGGCTGACAGATCAAAAGGTAATAGGACCTAGGGCAGATAAGGGAAAATCATTGATCGGAGTTCAATGAAGTTGTCAAGTTGGAACGTCAGAGGGTTGGGAGGCCATCTAAAAAGAAGTTTGGTAAAAGATACCCTGAGAAGAGAAAGACCAGATATAGTCATCCTACAAGAAACAGAAAAAGAAGTGGACAGAAAACTTCTGAGAGCAATTTGGGGAATTCGTGGAAAGAAATGGACTGTCCTTCCTACTCTAGGCACCTCAGGGGGAATCATCCTAGCTTGGAACGAAGAGGAGGTGTCGGGCATTGAGATAGATAAAAGAGAGATCTCAATCTCCATACTCTATACTAATAAAAATGATGGTTTCAACTGGATTCTGACTGGAGCATATGGACCAAATGCTCCTGCATATGGACAAAAAACTTTGGGAAGAGTTAGACTCTCTGCACGAGTTTTGAGCTCCCTTGGGTCCTAGGAGGTGACTTTAATGTCACAAGGTTCTCCCAAGAAAATTCAAACAGAAGATCAGTAACTAGAAGCATGAGGGATTTCTCTAGTTTTATCTTGAGGCATAACCTTTGCGACCTCCCTCTCCACAGCAGCCAATTCACTTGGTCAAATCTACAAAACTTAATAAGCTGCAGACTAGATAGGTTTCTAGTAACTTCACATCGGGCAGAGCACTTTCCTAATCTTCTCCAAGAAATGAGACCTCACTGCACCTCAGATCACTGGCCATTAGTCCTGAGAACAGACCTGGTTCTGAAAGGTAAATCACTATTCAGACTGGAATAAGTGTGGACTTTGCATAAAGATTTTCACAAAAATGTGGCTTTTTGGTGGGAGGAATGTAGAGTTGAAGGCTGGGGTGGTTATAGATCAATGCAAAAAATTGAAATTCCTAAAAGGAAAACTGAAATCCTTGGGGAGAGAAGAATTCAAATCTTTTTCAGAGGAAAAAAGTGCTATCCTTTTGGAGTTGGAAGAACTAGACAAAAAGGAGCAATTAGGAACTCTGGAAAGAGTAGGAAGAAGTAGGAGAGAAGGTCTAAGGAGTTCTTGGGAAAAGGTGATTAGAAAAGAATTGGAGGCAAAGGTCAAGGGTCAGATGGTTAATGGAAGGAGACAATAACTCAAAATGTTTCCATAGTTACGCGTCGCGAAGGCATAGGAAAAACTTCTTCTCAAAAATCAAGGTGGATCAAAGGGAGGTGGAATATGCAAATGGAATCACATAGGCCTTCCTTAACCACTTCAAAAAGTTGTACTCAAGGAGAGCGTCAGAAAGTTCACTTTAAGAAGTTGGAATGGGCCAACTCTAATAGAAGATAAGAGGTCTTGGCTTTGAAAGGGATTTTGAGGAGCAATAAATAAGGGAAGCAGTCTTTGATATGGATGGAGATAGAGCCCCTGGGCCCGACGGTTTCCCCATTTTCTTCTTTCAGATTTGTAGGGATGTTGTAAGAGATGATCTTCTGGAGGTTTTCAACGATTTCCACTCCTTGGCTGTTGTAAACAAAGGAAACAACTCTACCTTTATCTGCCTCATCCAAAAGAAAGACGGCGTCTTGGAAGTGAAAGACTTCAGACCAACAAGTTTAGTAGGAAGTGTGTACAAAATTCTGGCAAAAGTTTTAGTAAAAAGACTTAGAGAAGTCCTATCCTAAGAGAGCTTGTTTCTCCAAATCAGTTTGCTTGCGTGAAAGGAAGACAAATCGTGGACAATATCTTAATAGCAAATGAAATCGTCGAAGATAGAAGGAAGAGTGAAAGGTTGGGTCTCCTTGTGAAACTAGATCTTGAGAAAGCTTATGACAAAGTAGACTGGGACTGCCTTCTCCAAGTTCTGAAATTGAGGGGCTTTGGCATGAAATGGCTGCAGTGGATGAAGGGCTGTATAAGTTCAACATGGTTCTCAGTCATGGTAAATGGAGAGGCCAAAGGTTACGTCAAAGCAAGTAGAGGTCTCTAACAGGGCTGTCCTCTATCCCCTTTCCTTTTCACTCTGGTAATTGATGTTTTTAGCCAGCTAGTGGAAAACGTCAAAAGCCTAAATTTAATTAAAGGTTTTCAGGTAGGAAGAGATACTCTTAATGTCTCCCATCTCCAATTCGCAGATGATGTCATCCTTTTTCTGGAAGCTAACTTGGAGAATATTAATAATGTGAAAACAGTGCTGCATTGTTTTGAATTAGTCACTGGCTTGAGGGTAAATTGCTCAAAAAGTAGCCTAGCGACCATAAACCAAATTGAAGAAACTCTCTTGGATAGCTTCAAGGAAACTCTGAATTGCCGAGTGGAAAACATCCCCGTCTTATTTGGGCCTGCCTCTTGGTGGGAATCAAAAAAGTCCAAGCTTCTAGGAGCCAGTGGTGGAAACATGTGAAATGAAGTTAGCCACTTGGAAATGTTGTTACCTATCAAAAGGAGGCAGGCTTACCCTCGTCAAGGTTTCCCTTGCAAATCTGTCTGTTTACTTCCTCGCGGTGTTTCAGATCCCTGCCAAGGTTAGGTCACAGATTGAGAAACTACAAAGAGATTTTCTTTGGGAAGGTGGAGGTGAAAAAAAAAAGACATCTAGTAAAGTGGAGTCAAGTCTGCAAGCCTAAAGAGGCTGGTGGGTTGGGGATTGGACACCTAAAAGCGAAGAGCAATGCTCTACTCGGGAAATGGTTGTGGAGATTCCCCATTGAAACGAATTCCCTTTGGGTATCTGTCATCACCAGCAAGTATGGGTTAAACGCAAACGGTTGGGACTGCAATCTCCGCTCAAACCGATTAGCTTCCTCAAATCCTTGGAAAGGTATCATTTCTATTCACAACTTTTTTTTTCTTTCACAAGATTTAAAGTGGTTAATGGTACCAGAATAAAGTTTTGGACAGACCTGTGGTGGGGAAATTTCACTATAGCGGAATCTTATCCTAGAATTTTCAACCTCACCCTAAACAAAGAAGCAACCATCTCTTAGTGTCTCCCCACTTCTCCCAATGAAAACAACATAAATTTGAGCCTTAGAAGACCCTTAAGGGACTCGGAGATTAGTGAGCTAACTGATCTCCTCCAGTCTCTCAGAGAAGCCTGCATTTCCCCAAACTCCCAAGACTCCCGTGTCTCGAAACCCCACCCTGTTGGTGAGTTCACTTACAAGGAAGAAGACTTTGAATCTCATGTGGAACCCTCCACCTCCTGGTTTTATCAAACTAAATTTTGATGGCAGTAGCATGGGGAATCCAGGGGCCTTCGGGTATTGGGGGGTCCTAAGGGATGAGAGAGGTAATGTAATAGCTATGTTCTCATGTCCAATTGGAGTGGGAGACTCCTTGAGGGCTAAGGTGTTAGCAGTGTTGGAAGGGGTACAAAGGGCCAAAGAAATTCAAGTCAAAGAAACTGCTTATAGAAGGAGATTCTGCGATTGTTGTGGATTGGCTGAAAGAAGACACTTCCAAGATGTGGAGCTACAGCAATGAGAAAAGAAAATTCAAGTGGCTGATTAAGGATATGGAAGTCCTATGTACTTGGGTTAAAAGAAATGCTAACTCCTTTGCCGATGGATTGGCTAGGCAAGGAGTTTTTAGAAATTCTGGGTTTTGGACTCAATTTTAAGGGTCTGAGTGTTTAAATCAGTTGTACTTCTTTTGTGGGGAGTTGAGTATCTTTAGCTCCCCTTCCCTGTAATATTTTTCCTTTATTAATGAATTCTGTGGTTATTGATAAAAAAAGAAAGTCTTTCCTCGAGGCTCTGGTTGCAGGAGACTCTGGGACTGTGTCTTTCCTTTCAAGAAGATCTGTTGTAAGTTTGTTCCCTCAAGAGTGTGTTTTTTCGTTTGGGAGGCGGGAGGCCTGTCTGAATCGAGTAAACACCTGCGAATTACTGCAGAAGAAAAATCTTGGAAGGCTTTATTATCTCTCCTCACGTCTGCATCCTCTGTTTTCCTGAGGGGGAGACAGCTGATCACCTTTTCATACACTGCCATGTAACCAGCAACATCGGGAACTACTTCTTACAGCTAGTTGGGTACAGCTGGGTGGCTCCTAACCATCTTCAAGACCTGATTTCCCAGTGGCAAGGTAAAGGTCTGAGCAAGAGAGGTAAGGTATACTGGAAAATAGTGTTACATGCTGTGTTATGGGGAATTTGGGAAGAAAGGAACAATAGGTTGTTTGAAAACAAGGCAAAATCCATGAGTGAGCTGTTCCATCATATCAATTATCACTGCAATTTGTGGGCTTCTAGCTCAGAAGTGTTCACAGGAATCAATGTTAATGACCTTAACAGGAATGTTGTCAACTTTCTGTTCTCCTCCCCTTCTATCCCACATACCCCCAAGGCTCCATCAATAAGAAGGGAAGGAGCTTGGACTCTAAGCTTTGACGATAGTGCATTGGGTAGCCCTGGAGTTGCTGGCATAGGAGGAACTTTAAGAGACGAAAATGGGTTCATCTGCTGGGTGTACAGTGGACCGATTGGTATAGCTGACTCTACAAAGGCAGAAGTGTTAGCAGCTCTCACAGGGATTTGCCTAGGCAACAGACTGGGCATTCAGAACTTCTCCATTGAAGGTGACTCAGCAAACACCATGAAATGGTTAGGAAAACAGGAGGCTGGACCATGGAGACTTAGTCACTTCCTAGCAGAGGCAAGGGACCTATTGGCTTCTAAGAACGCATCTCTGTACTGGATTCCAAGGGATTTAAATGCCATTGGTGATGGATTAGCAAAATTAGGTGCCATTCTGGAGACATTGTATTGTGACAAATTCCCTCCTGTGTAATTTTTAGGGGCCTGACCCCTGTTTTGTACTCATACACCTTGTGTACCCCCATTTCTTTTAATGAAATATGTTAACTTCCTTAAAAAAAAAGTAGGGAGATTAGGACAGATACCTTCCTATATCTCTCTGCAGTTACACTTGTATATGGTGATGTTTAAGAGGTTACCAATAGACTTTTGTTCATAAAAAAAAAGATAAAAAAAAAAGATTACCGATAGACAGGAACCAGTGGGCACATATTGCTTTAGGGTCAATTGTATAACGTCTTGTTGTAAATGGGCATTGAATGGCAAAGCCAGGGTTTACAGCTATTCCTGATCCTGTTTATATTCTTTGCTTGGTAGACATAAATGTTCAAGTCATAATAAATACATAACCAGTCAACTCGTATTCACTTATTCATGTGGGGAATTTTGATTGGTTAAAGCCTTTTGGGCACTGTACCTTTTTGTTACCATTAGAAATTGTCATCCAAAACATATCATGGTTTAATTTTGTTGTGTTAATTTGTCTGTTTTTATAAGCTGCTGTTATTGAAGCTTTTGTTGATTGCTGTTTGAGACTTTTAATTGTTTAACTTGACTTATGTTGATTGCTGTTTGAAATGTGTCACTAACTTGGTTGGCAGACGGGAGTTCCTGGTGCTATATGTATTCTTGATGATGAACCTCTAGCTGGTGGAAGGCATTGTGGCAAGATTGATTCCAGCATTTGTCTAAGTAAAAAAGTAAGCTTTTCTATTGCAGTCATGATCCAGCCCGAGTCTGGGCCGGTTTGTCTTTTAGGTACTGAGTACCAGAAGAAAGTTTGCTGGGAAATCTTGGTTGCTGGTTCAGAACAAGGCATTGAGGCTGGACAGGTTGGACTGAGATTAGTTACTAAAGGTGACAGGCAAACTACTGTTGCAAAGGAATGGAGTGTTGGTGCAACATGTATTGCTGATGGAAGGTTTGTGTTTCCTTGTCTACATATCAACATCTACACACACATATATGTGTGTATTTATGTATTCTGTTCTTATTTTGTGTTTATAAGTTCTTCCTCCTTTGCTTTATCTGATTATGAGTCTTATTTTAAATTGGTTTGATTCTGTAAAGCTTTTGGTTCTTATATTATTATTATTGTTGTTGTTATTATTATTATTATGGTTGTTATCATCATCATCATCACCATCATTTTGTTGCTGCTAATGTGAAATATTCAACCATTCCGTTATTATTGATTTTTGCAGGTGGCATATTGTGACAGTGACTATTGATGCTGACCTAGGTGAGGCAACTTGCTATTTAGATGGTGCCTTTGATGCATACCAGAGTGGGTTGCCTTTGCACACAGGCAATGGAATTTGGGATCAGGGAACTGAGGTCTGGGTTGGCATTAGGCCACCAACTGATTTGGATGCCTTTGGGAGGTCAGATAGTGAAGGAGCTGATTCCAAAATGCATATCATGGATGCTTTCCTATGGGGAAGGTGTTTGACTGAAGATGAGATTGGGGCTGTCCATGCTGCTACGAGTTCAACTGAGTATGGCATGATAGATCTACCAGATGATGGCTGGCAGTGGGCAGATTCACCTTCAAGAGTATGCATTTACAACTTTGCATATTGTATTATTGATTTGGTTCTTATGCTGGTTTTTTGAAGGTTTTGATTTATTAAATGTTCAGCTTGTGAGGAACATGAATGCTCATTTTACATCGACAATATTTAACTATTTTGTTCTTGTGTTATTTATTGACTGGTATTTTCTATGTTTAGGTAGATGAGTGGGAAAGTGACCCTGCAGATGTTGATATATATGATCGGGATGATGTAGATTGGGATGGTCAGTATTCAAGTGGAAGGAAAAGAAGGCCAGACCGTGACGGTGTGGCAATAGATATGGATTCTTTAGCGAGAAAGTTGAGAAAACCTAGGATGGAAACCCAAGAAGAAATTAATCAACGGATGCGATCAGTTGAGATGGCTGTTAAGGAAGCTCTATCTGCAAGAGGGGAAGCCCATTTTACAGACCAAGAGTTCCCTCCTAGTGATCAGTCTTTGTTTGTGGACCCAGAAAATCCCCCTTCAAAGTTGCAGGTTAGTTTCTTGATTAGCATAATCCTATTTGGCATGTGTGCTATTCAGATTGTCCTTATGCTTGGCTTGGTGTTCTATCCTAGGTCGTTTCTGCATGGATGAGACCAGCAGACATTGTGAAGGAAAACCGTATGGATTCTCATCCATGTTTGTTTTCTGGGGCTGCAAACCCATCTGATGTTTGTCAGGTATCATTGCTTTGTTTCAGTATGATCTTGATATTCTGTTTCTTTGATCATGCTTCTTGTGACATGCTGCAAGGAATCCCGTTTTGGTTCTTTTAATTACTGCAGTTGTTTTGTACAGGGTCGGTTAGGTGACTGCTGGTTCTTGAGTGCTGTTGCTGTTTTGACTGAGGTTTCTCGAATATCACAAGTAATAATTACTCCAGAGTTTAATGAGGAAGGAGTTTATACAGTTCGCTTCTGTATTCAGGTAATCAAGTCCTGCACCTTAACCATGAGAGCTCAATTTGTTTGTTTTATCTGTGCTCTTAAATCTTTGGTTTGATTTGTGTTCCTGTGATATATAGTCTGCATGCCTTGTTCCCAGCATGTGTTATACTTCACTACTTTATCATTTAGGAAATCTTCATCCATAAACATGCAGCTGACTTGAAGAATTTAAATTGCATTTGGGATCAGGGCCCTGGGTGTGGCCCCTTCTAATTTTAACAATTACTCAACCCTTGCCTGCCCATGTTGCTCCCTATTCGTCAGCTCATTATTAGCATTGTTAATGATTGCTGTTTGCATTTCTGTAGGGTGAATGGGTCCCTGTTGTTGTTGATGATTGGATTCCTTGTGAATCGCCGGGAAAGCCAGCATTTGCTACAAGTAGGAAGGGAAATGAACTCTGGGTTTCAATATTGGAGAAGGCATATGCCAAGCTTCATGGCTCTTATGAAGCACTGGAAGGTGGGCTTGTCCAAGATGCCCTTGTGGACCTTACTGGAGGAGCTGGTGAGGAGATTGACATGAGGAGTGCTCAAGCCCAGATTGATCTCGCGAGTGGAAGACTTTGGTCTCAACTTCTGCGCTTCAAGCAGGAAGGGTTTCTACTTGGTGCTGGAAGTCCATCAGGTTCAGATGTGCACATCTCTTCCAGTGGAATTGTTCAAGGGCATGCTTACTCAGTATTGCAGGTTTGCTAAATTGGTGCCTCTCATCGGAGTTATAGTGTTATACATATTGGGTATCTTGGTTTGAACTTTTCCCCTTTCGCTGTCTGTATTGTGACTGAAGGTAAGAGAGGTAGATGGCCACAAGCTGGTTCAGATCCGAAATCCCTGGGCCAATGAAGTTGAGTGGAATGGACCATGGTCTGACTCCTCACCTGAATGGACTGATAGGATGAAACACAAGCTGAAGCATGTTCCTCAGGTACTTAATCTAGTTGAGTTTTACCATGTAAACTATGAAATTATTCAACTTTTTTATCAGATCTTCATCTTGGAAGCAGTGTGTGGTCTTGGTTTGTGTTGTATAAATTGTCCTATGGTGATTTTATTGTTAGCTCCCCAACCCACCACTTTAAACCCCTGCACATGAAAAAAAAAGATGGAGAATAATATGAAAACAAAAACATAATTCCAAACAGTGTGTTTAGTTTTAGGCTTTAGTCTGATAAATTTCCAAACTTCTATTCCATTATGACTAAGCATTTCTTTTCTGAACAGTCGAAAGATGGCATTTTCTGGATGTCTTGGCAAGACTTCCAGATTCACTTTCGTTCAATATATGTTTGCCGTATCTATCCCCCGGAGATGCGTTATTCTGTGCATGGGCAGTGGCGTGGTTATAGTGCTGGCGGTTGTCAAGATTATGATACATGGCATCAAAATCCACAGTTTCGGTTGAGGGCTTCTGGGCCAGAGGCTTCATTTCCAATTCATGTGTTCATTACCTTGACTCAGGTAGATTTAGCTATTTTTTTGCATTGTTGAACTTTTACTAGGTTCTTGTTTACTGTTTTTTTTTTTTTTTTTTTAACTTGTGGACTTTTTTGCTAGGGGGTGAGTTTCTCAAAGAAGGCAGCTGGTTTCAGGAATTACCAATCCAGTCATGATTCAATGATGTTCTACATTGGGATGCGGATTCTCAAGACACGTGGCCGTCGTGCTGCTTACAACATTTACTTACATGAATCAGTTGGTGGAACGGATTATGTCAACTCTCGGGAAATATCATGTGAAATGGTCCTGGAACCCGATCCCAAGGGATACACTATTGTTCCCACAACTATCCATCCAGGGGAGGAAGCACCATTTGTTCTCTCTGTTTTCACCAAGGCAGCAATAACACTGGATGCTATATGATACAATATGGTGGCCTTCTGTTGGTGAATCATACTGTACTACAGTTGGGGTGCTTCTGCATGGTTTTGGATTGCTCGCCATGTCCTTGGATTGTGCATGCCAGCAGGCAGATTTCAATTGGTTCATAGTTGTTTTCAACAGGGTGAGTCGGTATGTTTATCATCTCAGATCTTTTCTCACTAGTTGGTATGCTTATCATCACTTAAGGCTCTGATTTTAAATGAGTGAAAGATTGCCTTGCATGTGATACTTTTTATTTGTGAATGATACTTAGATGTATGAGATGTAATTATGTTCTTATCTTGTTCTTGGAAAAAGTTCTACTTGAATCTATTAATTTTTAGAAAGTGCATCATTATGTAGAGACTAGACAAATTGGAAAAAGTAAAATATGAAAAAATAGTATTCTCACTGTTGAAATAGATTAAAGGGATGAATAGGTTGATCGAGCAAGAGGCCGAGGAAAGGGAAGACAAATTCATTCTTTTAGATCCCTAATTCTCTATTGGGTCTTCCAATGGCTCCTATGATGGGCCAACAATCAGATTACCACAAATCCATGTGAACCGGACCCGCTTCCATGCACCCTACAAATATTGAATAGCAAGCTCAACCCCAATAAGATGCTTAGCTAAGCGTGTCAACATTATTAAGCCCATTCTAGCAATCCCAAGAAGCTGGTTTCATATTCATGTGTATTTTTTTATGGTTAAAAACAAAATTGTAGTACAATTAAATGGATATTATAAAATTGAAGAGTGTTCACCAAAATGATCTTCACATAGATTGGCCTGAAAAGCTCTTTCATTGGCTGTTCCTGTAAAGGATATTATATTATAGGGAGAGTAACATTTTGGTTGTGATGTTTGTGTAAATGAAAATGGTTAAAATTTAACAAGCATAATTGATTATGTTAAAATTTAGCATCTTAGTTATGTTTAGAAAATTGGTTCTTGAGAAGAATTTCATAAATCGTGGTTTTTGCATGCTTGATGGTCTTAGCTTGTGATTTTTGTGGTCTTTTCCATTACAAACATTTGTTTCGTTGAAGTCTTGGTTCAACAGCCTTGCTGGAGGATTTTTCCATCATGAACCTTCTAATTTTACTGAACAATCATTTCTGTTGAGAGTTATAACTATCCATTGTAATTTGACATACTCAGCTGCCTTGTAAGTTGTCATCTAAAACATTCCCAAGTCATGTAAGTCTTTCATGGATGACCTTTTTCCTTTGTATGATGCGTTTGTGACTTGTGTATGTTTTGATGCCTGTTGTGGAATTATTCAGGTGAAATTTGACAGTTTTATATTCTTTTTTTTTTTGTGGGGGGATTTATTAATACTATAGGGGAATATATGATCTGAGTAGGTGGAGAAAAGTTTAAAAAGTTTGGTGAGAATAGGGTATATAGGTTCCAAATAGAAACTTCAATGAATGGGGTTGAAGGAGTTGAAACTGGAGAAGGCTGCAGATCACAAATTAGTCTTGCAATAGGGACAAATCTAGGCTTACTAGGTAGGCTAGGCTTTATGATGGTGTATTTAAAGCTGATACAATGATGAAAATGATGAACTGATAATCAGAGACCTGGTTTGTTGCAACTGCAGTATTATGAGGACTTTAAGGTAAGCTGATCACTAACTGGTGGTATTACAACCCACACTGCTGTTGCTGCAGTATTGCAAGGACTTTAAGGTTAAGTTAAATTACTAACTGGTGGTATTACAACCCACACTGCTGTTACTGCAGTATTATGAAGAGTTAAATGTAGGCTAGAGATGGTCCAGACTCCAGCCCTACTAGACACTCCTTATCATGCCAAAAGACTAAGGGAGCTCCAAACGGTATCCAATTGTCTGAATTCTAATTCGAATTGGATCCATTTATAATTGGATCAAATATGGATCCACCCCCATCCAATCCGAAATAATCCAATTGGATTCGATTAAAACACATATACTTGTAAATACTTAAAATTTATATTTAACTGTCAGTAAATTTGGTTTGAATGTTGTATTTTCACTAAATTGTCATAGGGTCCGAGTTTCATATAAGTGATTTTTAATTTATTTTGTCATAAATATAATATTAAAGTCATTTTAGTTCATTTTATTAATATAATATTACCACTTTGATTATATTTCATTTAATTTATTTATATAACTTAATATCTGATTACAATCCAAATTTGATTCGGATCTGCTAGATATCCAATGGATATGATCGAATTTGAATTCAAATATGAATATGAACAAATCAAATATGGATCTACCTATATCTGATTCGATTTGAAAGAGAAAAGGTGGTCCTGAATTCAGGAATAGGTGGAATCATCAGAGATCACAAGGTAGAGGTTACCTTTCTGCATAATTGCCCCATTGGAGTGAATATAAGATGSGGCTTGAGTAGTTGAATGGAGTAGTGGAATCATCAGAGATCACAAGGTAGAGGTTACCTTTCGGGCATATCTTTAAGGGATGCTGGTTTTCTGGCGAACAAGCTGGATGTTTTATTCATTCAGGTTGGCAAATGCCTTGGCTAATGCTTTTTCTATGGAAGGGGTAAATAGGGCTGAGCTCTTTTAAGGGACTGGCCAAACATGGGTAGGCAGTTTAGCTATTGTCTGTAGCTATGATAGAGACTAGAGGCTCTATCCTTGTCTGTTTCTGTACCTTCTCTATAAACTATTTATAGAATCTTTTCTGATCTTTTAGTGATAAAGAATGGTAGTTCTACTTTAGACCTTGTCTTAGTGACAATGTATTGCTATTTTGTTTGCTAAATGTCACTCCTGTTTTATGTAGGAGAAGCCTTGGTTCTGAAATTCCTAAAAACCATTGTTCAAGGTCAGAACTACTAGAAATGTTAAGTCCTATAAGAAATTGTATAGAAAATGTAATTAAGCAAATTAATAAACTCTTGCTGGGCTGTTTTGCACAATAATTTGGTAGGTAGCAATTGGCCGTAGTGTTGTGTTTTTGTTGGGATGTCCAAAACATGCTTGCTGAATGCTGATTGCTTTAAAGTGCTCTTCTTAATTCTATGACATGGTTATTGCATTGTCATTTTTCCCCCCTCTAAAGCCGACTTGATATATTTTGACAGATCCAAGGGCTGTGGTTGAATCTTGGCAACAAGGGCAGCATTTGGCAGCAATTTGATGGGATTCTTCAGTTGTGCTCTTTTGTGACCTCAGGGCTACACGGGATCCATTATTCTTGGATGAAATGGACATATGGAAGATCCAACTTTTGGGTTAAAGCCTTAAAAGGGCAAATGGTGTGTATGGGGACGGAATGAATAGGCACTTCTATCATTCCTTGTGTGACGGTGTCAGAGGAGGGTTGGTGGTTCAATCTGTAAATAGTGGTGTAACGGGGCTGGAATGGTATAGGTGTTGTCAAAGTATTGTAAAGTTAAAAAAATGAGGAAAAGAAAAGAAAAGGAATAGAAAAATAAATTATTGTGTTTTTCATTGGGGGGAGGGAATAAGATGGGCCATGGCAGCTGGGAAGGGGTTTGCTTTGAGTTTCAGCTGCAGTTTTTCTCAGTTGGCCACTGTAGAGAATGCTTCTTGTATTGTATGTATATCGTTCTTTTTCTTGCAATATAATGCCCCCAATTTTTAATGCTTCATTTAACAGACTCGCCTCTCTCTCTCTCTCTCTCTCTCTCTCAGTGTGGACTTTGATTTGTACTGGGACTATCAGTATGGGAGTGCAAATTTGGGTTTACTCTTTTATTAAGGTTTTACTCGAGTATGGTGGATTGGTAGGATGGCAACATTTTAATCAATTGAGGGTATAAACCAATTATTTCAGTTTCTTGGATTCCATAAAAACATTGTCAAGGTTTTTGAGGTTGTCCAATTACCAACCCTCTGGAAGTTGAAGTGATCTTCTCTCCTTCCTCTAAATTTCCTTGGGCTTAAAAAAGTGTATGTCAAAACGATTATTTCTTTCGACATTTCCATTTGATCACGTTAATCTGCCGTTGCATTCAAACATAATCCGCAATGCAAAACATGCCTAGTTATTCTACCTTTTATTTACTCGTTATTAACAGTGTAAAGATGCATTCCGTATGATACATCAATTTTAGTAAAATGATTTGCTTGCTACATCAATCATCATATTCTAATTGCCAAACACTTGTCATGATAAATGTTGCACGGTTGGAGCTTTGTAGTGTTGATAATGCTTAAATTCAGCAATGAAAAATGCCAATACAAGCAATAAGAGATATCAAAACTCTCCCTGTTTTATATTATGACAAAATGATGGCAGGGAAGATCAAATTTTCCGTTTTCTTTTACAACTTTAACCTCTTACTCTCTCTGTCCATGGAAGGATGCAATAGTGTGGGCCCATCTGTGGAATTCTTAGATTGGGTTTGGAGGAACAAGTTCATCCTGAAGAACATATATGGAGTAATGTGGGTCCAGCTGTATTGAGCAATTGGAAGCGTCACCCACTTGAAATGTAAGGTTTAGTTTGGGAGTGCTTAAAAAAAATTGCTTATTCCAATAAGCACTTTATTTGTGTTTGAGAAATAAGCCCGAATTAAGTGCTAATAAGCACTTATTTGAGAAGCTCAAATTTTGGGCCTATTTTTAAATACTCATTTTTTTTTTTTTTGTCTATCTTGGCCTGCCTTGTCATTTTATAAATACCTGTACTACCTCTGTTTAAAATAAGTGCCTTTTCACCAAATGCTCATAAGCACTTGTTAGAATAAACACTTATTTTTCAGCATATATTTTTCAAATAGGCGTGCGCATACACACACATATATAAATTAAATATATTTAAAACATTATTTGTATTTTTATATTTTCTTTTATTTTAAGAAGATTTATTTGTCAAAGAATATTGTTAACTAAAATATTTTAAGGATTTTGGTCCCCACGGGAACCTGATTCCATCGGGGATTGGGGATTTATTTCATAATCGGGGTTGGGACAGAGAATATAATCCCCACCCCCAAGCTTGCCTCGTTATCGAGCTTGCATCGTATGTCGCCTAGGGGGTAGAAAATTGTTTATCCCCACCAATAGAAAATTGCCAAAAACCAAAAGACTTGGAATCTAAGAAACAGGTCTAACGGATACATTCGTAAGTTAGAAGAATGATGGGTTCTTAACATTGAAGGGGGTGAAGCTGCTTGATAGTAGGGCATTTGTAGATGAAGGCATGAATCCTGAAGAATGCATAGCCCAGTGTTGAAGTAACTATTCTTGTACAACTTATGTGAATCTATATCTATATATTAAAATGCAATGTGCCAAGTTGGCACTTTCCTGCTCTATGGTTTATTCTCAAAGCTACTCATCTTTTTTATTTTTGTTTTTTTTTCTAATTTTAAAATCGAACAAAATAACACAAGTTATAGGACTTTTAGCACTCATCATTAAAACACTATTAACTCTCTCTCTTTCTCTCTCCCGCCCCCCCCATTAACTCTTTTAATAATCTCTCATTAATTATGCCATTAACTCTATCCTTCAATAACTCATGCCACTAATTCAATGATATATTTGCATTAAACTATAATTATCAATAAAGGTTTATTATATTGAAATAGAGATATTCAATGATACATTATTGTGCTAAATAATCTACTTCCATTTAAAATTATAATCCTTTTACATTCCATTTGAAAATAATAAAAATTAATTAAGCATAATAAAAATAATTTAGTAAGTTAAATAAAATGAAATAATTATTAATTATTGTTATTGATGAAAATACTTTTTATTAATATAATAAAAATAATTTAATTAATAAAAGGAATAAGATAAATAAAGATGAGTTATCAATCTAACGATTATTAGTTTTGTAATTAAATTTTATTAATTTAAAACCAACTGTTTCACTAAAAAATAAAAATTTATATAGTTAATTAAATTTCATTTGGGATTTAAATTTAATAAAAGCTTAATATACTTAAATAAATTCAAATTTTACTAATTTTAAAAATTAATAAAAAAATATTAGTTTTAAACATAGTTTAATTATTTTAAAACCAATTGAAATTCCATTTAAAAAATAAGGAGAATTATAAAAAAACTCCTTGGATTTTCTAACAATCCTATCAAACTCCTAGTGTTTTGAATCTAACAAAAACTTCCCCTATTGTTTTGAAAAAAAGGTGCAAATACCTTCCTTTAGTCAGCATTCCAAATAAAAGAATGTTGATGTAGTGCATTAATTTTACCTCACTGCAACCTGTTTACATTTTGGCTAAGAAGAGTAACAAGAATTATTTATTGAAAGTTGCCTAGCAAAATAAATTAGTGGAGGAAGTTGAAACTTTAAGTTATGTATGATGGTACATTAACAAGGAGAATGATATTTTAGTAACTCCAATGTCTTTATTATTGAAGAGCCAAGGGAAAGGAGGTATTTTCACTTTTTTTTTCCTCAAAACTATAGGGAGGCCTTTGTTAATTCAAAACACGAAGGTGGTTTATAGAATTGTCATAAGGGGATGTTTTTCTTATAATTTTACCTGAAAATAATACAAAAATAATAAAAAGTAACATTAAGATGCAAAAAAAAAAAAAAAACTTCAATTGAACTTAGGTGAACACCATTTAATTGAAAATGTCATAAATAAAACTCATGCTATCACACGATTAGTACTAATATAAATGGAGGAAGCGATTATGTGTTTTGGGTAGTTATTTAGTATGTGTTTGGAATCGTGGGCGTTTATTTGCTAAATATTTGCACTTGATTTGTTTTAACTGAGAAAAACATTAATGAATCTGTTTATTGACATTAGGTGCCCCTAGGTGCCATTAGGCACCATATAAGCAAAAAATTAAGTAAACACTTACCTATTTGGGGAAGTGTTAAAACGAAGCTTCCCCCAATGATAAGTACGCACATATATCAATGCCCTATGGATATGAGTCGGCATAATAGAAAAATACAGAAGTGACATCTAATCGATATTGTTGCCATTTCTACAGCCCCCCACAATGTCCCACAACACATCCTCGCCGTGTATTGGAAACATCTCCTAATGATAGTATCAGAAATGATGATGTCATCATTGGGAAATGTTCCCGATACACGGCCGGGATGTGCTGTGGGATGTTGTGGGGGGCTGATTTGAGCTCGTCAGTGTAGCTTCTACCGAAAATAGGTCCGTGGTAAAGTCAATTTATTGGCTCATAAATGTAAATTTTTGGCTTTCCCACTGGCACTAAAGATAGCTTATTGGCTGTGGCTGTGCGTATGAGGTCCAAGTCGGAAAGCCGAAGCCGCTGCGCTTCAGCCCTCACAAATTTGTAATCCCTTGTGCAGTTTGCACTCCTCCGAGTCCGAGTCCAAGACCAAGCCTCCAAGGAATAAGAATAGTCCAGTCCTCTAGAGGCTAGTCTAGTCTCCTACCATCCATCCATTACTTCCATTTTCAGTGAGAGGAGAAGGGAGAGGTTGAAAACTCTGGGAAGTGGGAAGTGGGAAGTGAAAGGTGAGAGCAGAGAAAAATCTACTCCAAAGATTAAAAATAATAATATAATTAAAAAAACAGGGAAATTGAAAAACAGAAGACTCTTATTTGACGATGAAGACTTTAGTGTTGGTGGCACCTTCCTCCCTACGCTACTGCTCGTTTTCTCCTCCTTCTCATATTAATAATGGCTTCCAAATGTTACCTCCTTTCCTTTGCTTTCGACACTCAAGACTCTTCTCGCTTTCCTCTCGCCGTCGTCCTCTCGCAATGGCCTCTGCAACACCTTCCACTCAGGTGAGACCTTTTCTCTTTTTCTTCATATATCAGCATTTGAAAGCTAGGGTTTACCTATTTTCGTCTTCATGAACGTATGCAATCATCTCGAAAATCGGTTTCGCATGAGATAATTGATCGAACGGTTATTATTACGTTGCTGCTGATTATTGAAGAATTTGATAGGTAGGAAGTTTATTGTTTTGTTTTCTGCTTCTTATTTTTGAATAACTTTGTTTGGTCTTTCTTGTTGTTTTTCTTGTTTAGGGAGTTTCTTCTGGTGACGTTGACAGCGAAGCCAGCGTTTTCCAACTGATCCAAGCTCATCAGGTGGTTTTTTTAAGCTTTTATCTTTAAATTTATTGGAAGATGGAACCGATGTACTTATCTGTTTAGAGAGTTGTGTTGTTGGGAATCGGAATTTGGTTTATCTGTTGCAGGAAAAGGCTGCTCGGCTTCCCCCTGTTGAAGAAGTAAAAACTCTTCTGGATCGCAGTGTCAGGGGTATGTTGTCTACTTTCTCACAGGTATTGGTTCATGCACTTAACTTAGGCCCTATTATATTTAGAGGAAATGATTGTGTTTTCATTCGTCTGATGGTTTTATTTCGGGCCCTTTAAATTTAGTTTCGGAAGTTAGCAGAGTTTGGTTGTGCTTTTCCTATCCTAATTTATATCTGGATTCTGGAGTAGTTTATCTAATATGAAATTGCCATTTTTGCTTCATTCTAATATGAAGTTTTATTTATTTATTTTCTCTTTCTTAAGGAGGCACCAGAGTTGGAAGGTAACCAATTGATCACTTAGGATATTTGTTGATATGACCATTTATAAAAATGAATGCTTCATAGCTTCCTGTTCATTTCAAAATCAAGGAATTGGTTTAAAAAATGCAGAGGAGATTATGGTCTTTTAAGTTCACCCCTATAACACAGATTATTATTGGTGAACTAACTAAAAATTTTCTGATCGGTAACCATATCAAGTGCATTTACTAAATATGTGCTGAAACGTACTATCATCCATCTACCCCACAGAAAAGGAGATATGATGCAACCCTCCTTAGATGAAAGGCTATCCTGGGGGCAACTCTGTTTTCTCAACACCCTTTCTGGCTAGATTACCAATCTCTGTATCCATTTGAATGAGATGTTCACTGTATAGTAGATGTATGGCCTCTCTGATATGATGATAGAGTGCCAAATGGCCCTAAGTACCACCTTTAAACCAGTTGATGACCATTGTGGATTTCCTTCCTCCTCAACCTGCTCCTTTTTAATAAGTTGTATCAATATAAGGCCCTGAGTAAGGACTTTACATCTTTAATTGAGAGTAAGGACATTATCTATGCTCTGTGTTACATGATCCAACTGGAAACTGGACCTGAGTACACCAGTAATGTTTCTTCTTTGGTATTTTTGAATGATCCCTTCGTTCTGGTGGTCTCTGGGTTCCTTAAAGAGAAGCTATCACAATCAAGTTTGACTACTGACTGCTGAGGAAGGACGGATCCAATCCTGTATTGCTATGTCTGGTGGTGGACTGTGCATTACACACCACTGCAAATAATAGCATCAAATTGATTGTCCCTGAAATTCAATTTCATGCATGCCCAGTGTACCACTTAGATGGTGATAATGTCAATGAAGACCTTCTTTGATAGAATGTGGTTAGAGAAGATTATAGCATTCTTCTCTTCCCATATGACCCAAAGGTTAGCTATCCAGGTGCAAAACCTTTGCACTCTTATTGAAGGTGATAGGAGAGTTGGTCCAAAGATGCTGAGAATTTAATCAGGTGGTACCTGGCTGATGCCAAACAAAAGGAAAAACAAATCTGTGTAACATGTAATAGACATAAGGAGGTGGTAGATAGCCTCATGCCCTTAATTTATGAGGTATAGGACCAGACATACTACTTTGGCCAGAAATCCGACCATGCAAGCTGGACTTGAAATGATAGCTTTAAGGAAAGAAGATCAAGACTAACATCCTTAAGGATCAATTTACCAAATACAGGCATCAGCTATTAAAGGAGATGATATCATTTGTTTCCTGGTCATAATGTCCTCTATGGAAGCTAAGGTTTCAGCTTTTAAGAAATACCCAGTTGACAAAATGGGCAAATGGGTTTGTTTTTGAAAAAGGGATATATAGAGTATGGAGAAGCTAATCATAAAGATGGGTATCATGGATTTCTCCTCTCCAGAAATCCTTCTAGACTCTGAGAATCCTGCTATGAGAATGATCTTACCTGATGAAGAATGAAACAAGGAGGTGGTAGGTGTATTCATAACAGACTACTTCATCCAACAGAAGATGGTTTTCTAAGATGCTCAATGCAATTAACTTGTAACGGGTTTGTAGGAATATTAACGAATCTTTTGTTCAGGTAGATCGGGATGTCTGTGAATGACTTATTCTTACGCTAGGGAAGAGGTGAATAGGGAAAGAAAAGATCTTTCTGGGTATAAGGGTATGTGGATCTTGGCTACATAGGTATTTTGCTGAATGAGTAAGTAGTTTTATTAAAGAGAACAAAAGACAGTACAATCAGTCTTGGAGGAGGCACGAGGTGCTACCTCCCTTTTAGGGTGAGTATAATCTTGGCTACATAGGTTGATCAAAAGGATGCACTGTTAAGATATCCCCATTGACAGATCACAATGCCCTTATGTGTACTACTTGTTCCATGTATGATTTTACAATTTCCCCTTCTATGCTGCATTTGTGTTAGCTTATCAAAAAATGCAGTACTCATTTATAACTAATTATAAGTGTGCCAGAACTGAATAGATTGTAGAAAACCTCAGTAAATAAATGGCTGAACCCAAGGGGATATGAACTATGAAGTGGATTTCGTCCATCTGATGAGTATCAATCTTGGTTATGTTGTTAGTGAAGATCCCAACCTGATATTGGGTTTTATTCCCAGTTTATGAGGCTTTGCAAATGCTTTTGTTTTATCTCAGGCAAGCAGCCATCCAGTGGACCCACTTATCATGATGATTTTCAAAGTGTTATGTACATGTCATTATACAAGTACAAATGCTAAATCCATTGAAAATTCTTTTGGTTGATAGAAAACAGATATTTAGGCATGGAGAGGAATGATGGATATTTTTTTGGGTAAGGATATGATATCATATTGTCATATTTCCAAAACCTTTGGGTATGGTTTGGGTGTTGCATGAACTTATGTCTGTTTTTTCACCATCTGATAAATTATAATGATTGAGATGGCTAATTCAGTTTAGTCTTGACTTGTAGTAACCTACCTTTTCTTCTGCAGAAGTATGATGGCTACCCATCAGGTTCAATGGTTGACTTTGCATGTGACCACAATGGATCTCCAATATTAGCAGTCAGCAGCCTTGCAGTTCATACAAAGGTTTGCACTTTGACGGAGAAATACTTTGATCAGAACATCCAAGCTACATGCATGAAATGCTTTTTATGGATCACATGGCATGGGTCCTATTTAGCAACTAGGTTCTCAATACTGATATTCCTGGTTACTCTGTGTTATTGCTTTGGATATCTTGAACTGCAAAATAGCCCCATCATTGGTTGGTCGAACAAAAATAAATTAATGCAATTTAAGGTGACTAGGATTATACTCTAGTTATTTTTGGCCTAGGAAATAATTTGGGTTGGACCTGTTGAATGCTGGATCCAATTCTTTGCAGCCCCCTCCTTTGTTTTCAGTGTCCCCTGCATTTCTTTCCCCTTGTGTTGTAGGTAGGATGAGAAGCAAGTAGCATGTGCAGAAGTTCTTGTCCGAATTTTCTTTTGGACATATCTTTTTGATTTACTTTAATGAGGAGTTGCGAACTAGTGGTGTATATAATTGTTTATTTGGTTTATATTGTCATTGTGCCATAAAAAAGCCTGGAGTTTTTGATGGCTTATTGGTATATGCAGGACTTGTCGGCTAATCCCAAGTGCTCTCTTCTTGTAGCAAGAGATCCTGAGGATAGGACTGATTTAGTAGTCACCTTACATGGTGATGCAGTTTCTGTATGTTCTTCTCTCTGTGGTTTGATATTATGCTGTTAGTTCTGTTAATCACACCTTTCCTATTTTTCTTGTATCTGGTAGGATCATTTCCATAGCCATCAAGCTGTAACTTTCTTCCTTCAATTACTTTGAAACTTTGGCCCTCAAAGTTTGGATTAATTATTTTTTTCAATAATGGTTTTTGTTTAGGTTTCTGAAGAAGATAGGGTTGCTGTGCGTGCAGCATACCTGAAAAGACATCCAAATGCATTCTGGGTAATGTTTTCCTCTTTGTAACACATTTCTAGCATTATATGCTCTAATTTGGTGCTCTTGGCACACTTACTGTAGTATGACTTTCCTACCTGAAGGTTGACTTTGGTGACTTCCAATTTGTGCGTATTGAACCAAAAGTTGTGCAGTATGTATCTGGAGTTGCGACTGCTATATTGGGATCAGGAGGTATGATGCCCTATTGAGTTAATATCATGCAATTGTGCCCCTCTCTTGTCCAAGTCTATGCCAAATTTATGAGCTCCTTCCTAGGAAAACCTCTGAAACTCTCTCTTCCCTGCATCAGAAGGAAGTAACTACCTGTTAATGTGCTACTGCAGCTGTTATTTCTCATTTTGTGTGCTTTTGCAGGGGAATAGATCTATGCTTTTATTTCCCCGTCTTATAAGAGTATTTCCCTGTTGTTATTGCTTTATAACTATCTTTTTTCCTCTTCCAGAATTTGACAAGGAGGAATATAAAACTGCAAAAGTTGATTTCATATCTCAGTTCTCCAATCCTGTCACGGTATTCACTGATTTAGTGATTTTCCTCTATATTTTGTCAAATTATATCAATGATGGCTGATGTTATTCTATTATTTTATGATTTTATCAGTCTCACATGAATAGAGATCATGCAGAAGATACAAAGGCAATTGTGCAACACTCTACTTCAATTCAGGTATTTGGATCATCTCTCTAAACATTATGTTTTCACCTTCAGTTGAGACTTGGCCTCTAAGTACGTAATTCCATTAGTCGGTTTCTCTTTAAATATCTGGCCATGTTTATCAATTTTTGACAGGTGGTTTGGCCATAAATTTCAGATATACATAGGTCAATTTATTGATGCCTTATCCTAACTATTTTGGTTGGGGAGTCCTCTTCCACCATTCAAGTTGTCAGTCGTATCCCTTAATAAGTTGAAACAAGGACTTCTGTCTAAATGGGCTTGACTAAATTTTATGCATGTTGTTACCTAGATGATCCTCCTTTATTTGGGGTATGAACAAGCAGTGCAAGAGAAATCTTTGCAGTAACTTCATACAAGGTTTATTCATTGGCTGAAAACCTTGGATTTGTTTGCAGAATTTTCAGTAGATGATCTGATTAGAAATTGGAAGGAAATTGCAAATTCAGCCTCAGTCAGGAAGGTCTCAAGCTCCTACTGGAACCCCCCCACCTCTTGGCTTTACCAAACTGAATTTTAATGGCAGCAGCGTCGGTAATCCAGGGCCTTCTGGAATTGGGGGAGTCATGAGGGATGAAAAAGGGAATGTGATAGCCATGTTTTCTGGTCCAATTGGAGTGGGAGACTCTTTGAGGGCTGAGATTTTAGCAGCTCTGGAAGGGGTTCAAGGGGCTAAAGATCTGCACTTAAACAAGCCGATCATAGGAGATTTTGAGACTGTAGTGAGCTGGTTAAAAGAAGACAACTCAAGACTTTGGAGCTACAGAAATGAAAAGAGGAAATTTAACTGGCTGACCAAGGATATGGAAGTTCGATGCACATGGGTAAAGAGAAGTGCAAATTCTTTTGAAGATGGCTTAGCTAGGCAAGGGGTGAATAGGAGTTCTGTTTTTTGGGCTCAGTTGTAATTGCTCTTGTATTTTGGGTGTTTAGTGACAGTTGTGGGGAGTTAAGATATTTTAGCTCCCCTTCTATGTATTATCTTTCTTTAATCATTTAATGAAATCTCTATTATTGATTAAAAAAAAAGAAATCATTGCAGTAACTAAGTTTCACGAAAATGAGGGGATATCGTAGATACTATACATACTTTCCATCTCCTTTCTTTTTACAAGGATGATATACAAACTGTCATATTTATTAACTGGACCGAAGAAATTTGTTCTTAAAGGAAATGTAAATGAAAGTATGAAATTATTTGCCTGTTCTTCCCCTTTAGGTGGACTTTGCTTACATGTTGGACGTGGACAGTCTTGGTTTCAATGTTAAGGTAATTCTGACTCTTATCTCTGGATAATTGTTCTGTTGCTTTGTGGTAATGAGAATTGGTTTCTGGTAAAAGTTTGAACTTTGAAGATCATTCATTGGAAGTTTGATCAAAGTGCTAAGTTGCAAATCCCAACTGTGGAGGTTTGGACCTAATCAAATAATTAAATAATTTCTGATTCATTACTTGTTCTCTCTTTACTGTCTTGTTTTGGCTAGTGAATGGAAAGCATTTATTCTTAGATTCTGGATAAGTATAATCATGATAAACCATAGATTTTGTTGTTCAGTGTGGATAACCTTTGGTGTTCTCACTCTATTTGCTGCATTTACCATTTTGTGGGATTGACTGGATTGTTCCAATGGTTATATCATTCCAAATTCTGTTGTCCATGCTAATTCTTAAATTGCACAGTTTGTGGTGATTTTGATGTCAATAGGATCAATTATTATAGTGGGTTTCTCTGTACTTAATCTCCATTATTTGCTCTATCTAGTTTCTTGCAGTTTCCCTTATATACTGATTCATAACTGTTCTGCCACTATGACACTCCATTTTTCTTAGGCTGGTTATCAAGGAAGTACCTTCAAGCTTCGGATTCCTTTCCCAAGACGTGCAGAGGATAGAAAGTAATTTTTTTCTTAGCTATGGAAAGATTCTTAATCTCATACAAAAGTTCAAATGATATTTGATTCTCTTCTATTAACTCATCCTTAATGCTTCAGTGAAGTGAAAACTAACTCATGCAATAAAATATATTATGTGTTTTTATACATTAACATGTTCACTTTTCCAGGAAGGAAAAAACAATGCTAATCATAAACTTTAGAGAGGCACCTTGCATATTGGACATACTTGTGAATCTAGTGGTATAGTTGTGTTCATGATGATGGCACCAATTCCAATTTTAATTTAAGTGGTATCAAATGGTGCCAACATCTTCCCCACGTGTCATGATTCATGTCAACATAAAAGGTGGAGTTGATGCGACTTGAATATGCTTCTTACATGAAATCATGGACCAGAAAGGGCAACCTCTTGGCTTGCTCTAATCCTGGGATCTCAGATTGGTTAAACTGGCTAACACTCTTTCATATGTATTATGATACTCACCTGTTGAAAAATGCTTTTTTATTGATCAAACTAATCCAATTGTAGCATCATGCTTCTATGCAGTATTTGATTTGGGATAGTTTTCCTGTCTAATGAAAATTTTTCCCTGTAGGGATGTGAAGACTCTTATTGTGGAGATGCTTCAAGCTGCTAAGGCATCAAATTAATTGATCCCAAATCTGTACCATGAAGAGGTATGCATCAATTAATGTTTTATCCAAGTTGCTGGTATTTTGCTTCCTTGTTCTTATTCTTTTCACTATCACAGTAATGTCTTGCTTCTTCAATGATCTTAATTGTACATTGATCATTTTTGCATTTATCCTGTTATCATCCTAGATCTAGATGCCCATTAAAATATATGTATCCCAACCAAATTGTATGATGATATTGTAGATTAAGTAAATCTGTTTTTGTTAATGGCAGCAAGTATTGATTGGTGTAAGGTTCACCTTTGGGTTGTCAAAATTATTAGTTAACAGAAATAGAGAATGCCTTATTGGAGTTTATTTTTGCTAATATGGCAGAAAGTATGGGGTGTAATGGTCATATCTGGACTGACAAGATTATTAAGTCGCACATGGATATGGATAACTTTTTTTGGTTGTACATTTAACTGTCATTGCTCGTAAGGTATGAAATACAAACCATGGTAAAACATGAGAATGCTTTGCTCACTTATATGGGATTATTGAAGATATATCCATTCAACATATATGTCGTCGGATGTAAGACCCTGATGATGTGAAGAAATGAAGAGATTACTTATGACTTATGTGATGATCTCTCTCCTGTGACAGTCTTATTACTAATCTCAAAGTATTCACAGATTAGAAGGTTGTTTGGCAATTTGCATCACTCAACGCTTCCTCTCTCATTGTTTGTGAAACTGTATCCATTAGTTAATATTCAAAAGTTAAAAAGACCCAAACTACAACCTGATTTCTTGCTACATGAAACCAACCTTGTCAGTTGTTTCCTTAAAAAAGGGTTGAGAGAAAACTGCAAAATAATTCTAATTCTGATTGCCTCTTCAAGTGGCGGCTAATTGGGTGAGGCATAGCCCAGAAGCTATAATGACAAGACACTTTTATCACTAAAAATTCCCCTTTTACTGAAAAGAACCCAAAAAAAAATCCACTTTTAATCGACCACTCCAAAGCGGGCAATATTTAGGATTATTCACTATCTCATTGCCTGCAACTAGGTTGGATTGATTACTTTGTGCCGCACATAGGCAGTTTGGGGTAGGTCCAGGGGAATTGGACCACAGGTTTTGCTTAATTTGTTACGGCATTTATCCTATATAAATCCTTCTATCTTAAGCCAAACTGTCTGTTTCCCAAATCTTGATGTTCATAAGCGAACTGTTGCTTTGTTTTACTTGTATTGCTCATCGTTCCATCTCCAACCTAGGGTCATGTTTACCATTTATGCTTCATTTGCTCATGCAGATAATTGTTCTGAATTCTGATCAATACATTGTCAAGAATTTGGTGAGCTGGTTGGCATTCTTCATTTCCTGGGGAATTGCTTTGTTGTTGTAACAGGAGTGAAAGACAGTGGTCGTGGTCTTGTGGAGAAAAGAAGAAAAATAAAATGGTAGATACATATCCAACAATTCCTACAAGCATACATGTATACAAGTATGTACGTTTATATGCTTGTGTATTTGGTGCACGTACTCGTCCATCTGACCAGGCAGATTGAATCTTCACTTGCATTACCCAAATTTATCTCACCTGTATCGTCACTCATTGAAATCATTTTCTTTGTAGACCGTTCAGAAAATAATAAATAAGCAATGAAGTAACTTCTTTTCGATCCGACTCAACACTCCCGTCTAGTCCTTAGCATTCTATCAATTACTTAAAATCCGAAAACTACTCTTTGTATGTCGTATGAGACCACTGTGCCATTTCCTTAGCAAGTCTCTAAAATCCAGACAGGACGGATGAAACAACACAATAATATATGCATTACCTATATCCATGTCTGTCATTTTGCAATATCATTCTATCAACTACTCAAACCATGAATTGGCATCTTGGTAAATTTATCACTCGTTGTAATGTCAAATTAATTGTCAATGGACTTGGACTTGATGCCTTTAGTTTCTAAAAATAAAAAGTTTAGCTTGTCGTTACAACTGAAAGATGCGTTGAGGCCTTTAATAAAGGGCAGGACCCGAAGTATAGAGTAGCTCCCTCTAAGCTTTCCCCAAGTTAAGGGTAAACCACTTTAACATACATGCCCACCCTGGTCGGTCCCTGAGAGCAATTCCATTTTTAAGCTCTCATTATATCATTCTATCTATCTGTCTGTCGGCCCTTCAGTCCACCTTTTACTTGATTCCTACAATAAAAATCTAAAATCTTGCCGGTTGCCACTTTTATTTTAAAAAACTAGGAATAGATTTAAGGCCTATTTCAAATTATCCCCCCCCCCCTAGATTTAACAGCAATTAGGTGGTTCATTCATGTCTTCAAAATCCTGACTGAAGCAAGTAGTGCCGTTCTTCCACCCACGATTTTTAAAACCGACCTGGAGACTGAACCGGTCAGGGGTCCGGTTACTGGGTCCAACAGTCTGACTGTTTGACCCGAATGGTTGGCCCGTTCTGACAAAAAATAAAAAAATTAAAATCGGTCAAAACCATTGAAACGGTTAACCGCCCGGATCAACGGTTTTCTGACCAAAATCAGTGGTTTTTATGAAAAATCCGGTTTTAAAGAAAACTGGAACCAGTAACCTGACCGGTTCCCGGTTTTTCCGGTCTGGTCTGGTCTGATTTTGAAAACCATGCTTCCACCTCTCTCTCTCTCTCCTTCTTCTTTGGTCTTCACCACTACAACCATTCCTCCGCTCCAACTTTCTGGTCCTACTGAGACTGACTACCAATTCCCCTGTTCATGTATCCCGTTCAACTTGGTCAAACACATGGTTGCAATTAAACCATTGCAGCTGCGGTTTAATGATTTTGCAACACGCCATTTCGCTATACCAAAACTCAATGATGGGGATGACAACCGACTTCTGGGTTGATGGCGGTTTCACAAGTATGATTCCGTCGCCTGTTCAGCGGAAATGATGAAGCAGAAGAGATAGGGAAAAGAAGGGAAGCAGACACTGAATCTGAATCCCCTGCTCAGAGGTGTTCGATCGATAATAGTCGTAGAAGACGGGAGGAGTCGAATAAAAAGAAAATAGAAGACGAGGGGGGGGGGGAGTGAAGAAAGAGAACAAAGTGGAAGGGGACGACGACTATTTCATCTCTGCGGCGTCCTCGGTTCAGGTCTTCTTATGAACAGTAAACCTTCTAGTATTTGCTTTTTTCCTATTCGTTTCCTGATCTATATTCTTTGTCTTTCTTCGAGCTATCGCCATCGGGTTCCTCAGTGAAGAGAAAGAGTTTCAGGAAGGCCGGGCTGTAGCACAGAAACTTCACCGCTGATCAAGACTAGTTTAGATCGAGGGACTAAATTTGTCATCGGACACCTTGGAGTTGGGTTGGCAATTTGGCATGCAATCCAGTGGATCATCTTCCATGGAAGTTGAGAAATTCCAACCCAAACCAAAGTCCATTAAGTACGAGTTCAATTTGGTAAGGTTTCTGTTCCCCACATCGATTCACACCCCCTCAAAAAGGCATGGATGGAAATCTATACTCCAATTTATGGCCAGATGAAAATTGACACACCCAACAACATAAGCAACCTATAGACAGAGATGGGAATTTCAATGGTTATTTTTGAAAATTTGAAGGATAACAAAGGGTTAAAATAGTCTTTCAGTTTATTCTAATACTACATCGGGTCCAGCTCACTAATTACACCGAGATCTTAATTCTATTGTCCACAATTTCAGTGGTTGAACGCCTCAAACCAAGGGAGGGGTCTCTGATCTCTCACCCCCCCCCCCACCCACCCACCCCCCCTATCATCATCAATTCATCATCTATCATGATTCATGATTCATGTAGCACTTATTAGGAGCTTGTCGCTTGTGAACTGAAATACAAAATGGCAACTGTAAGGCATAAAACAAGAAAAACTCTCTAGAAAAGAAAGGGAGAAGAGAAGAGAAGAGATATCAAACTGAAAGAATCTTCGTAGAGTGGAGTTCGTTAAATGCAGGAGAAATTAAACAAATTTTTTTTTTTCAAGCAAAGGCAACTTGTACATCCGGAACAGAGACATCTCTGTTTTGGTTTTCTTCCTGAACAAAAAAGAAACAAAAAAAAAAGAAAAAGAAAAAACTGTTACAGGCTCTCTAGAACTCAAAATCAAAATGAATGCGTGCCTCAACCACTCATTCTGAATCGCTTTCCATGCTCATAGCCTTCAATCCTCTTGGTCTCTGCACCCACCATTCTCCAAATTAATCCAACCGTAAATCTTTATTAAATTAAAATATAAAAAAGGAAAAAGGAAAAAAAAAAGAAAAACAACAAATATCAAAACTGATTCCATACCTTCTTAGATGTCTTCTTCTCCCTCACCTCATATCTCTCTTGACAAAGATCAGATAACCAAGCACCAGGACTCACTAACTGCAACCCGATCCACCAAATAACACAAAGATCAGATTATATCCTCCAAGAAAAAATGGGTCTTTTATCAGTTCTGTTGAAACTTGAAACAGGGGGAGAGAAAGAGGGAGAAAGAACTCACGAGTATGGTCCTCTGTATATATTTGGCCCTCTTCTTGGGTCTCTGAGGAAGCTTACACCCCTTCATCGCCATGAAATCCTCTTCCTTTTCTTTGCTTGATAGTGAAATAAATAGCTTTGGCCAGACAACCGCTCTATCCTCTCCTTCATCCATGAAGATCTTCGCATTGTCATCGAACCCCATTGACCCTCTCGTCGCGTAGTATCGGTCTTCCTTTTCTGGCGAAGCTGACTTCCTGTTCTCGTTTATACTCGATGGATGTATCACCGATTCTGCGTTCCTATAACCAAAACAGCACCCAACAATAAATCGATTTCTGATGACTCGGACCTTGTTTTGTTGGAATTCCTTTGTGGGTTTTTCTTCTGTTCAGGTTTTTGAGTTTCTGAAACAAAAGAAAACCCCAAAAAAAAAACTCGATTTCTGATGCTTTCTATCTCATTTTCTTGAAATTTCTTGTGGAATTTCTCCTTTTTTAGGTCCCGAGTACTTGATACCAAACAAAATCTAAAAAAGAACTGTTTTTTTTTTTTTTTTTTATTTGACGTTCTCAAGCTCATTTTCTTGAGATTCTGTTCTGTGTTTTCTTATCTTCAGGTTTCCGAGTCCCTGAAACCAAACGGAACGGAAACGAACTGATATTTGATGTCGGGATTCTTGAAATTCTGTTCTGTGCTTATTCTCGGCCTCATCTTACCTGTTCATGGGATTCTGTTGTAGAGGAGGTGTTTCTTTCTCAGCTCTCACAACACGACGATCGACACGAGTAGTGATTCTCTTCCCTGCGATATCTCTGGCTTTTACCTTCACACATCGAAGCCTTTTTCTGTTTCCCCACTGTAACAGAAATTCTGTCTCAGGAGCTCTTCCGGGTCCTTGATGCTTTCCTTCCTTCTCCATGTCTGCATGAACAAAACAGAGTCAGTTAACAACCCATTTGGTTTGCTCTAATAACTCAAGATACCGGGATTAAAAAAGAAAAAGAAACAAAGTTGAAAGAAGAGAGAAAGATTTCTCTCACCTTAAGATCTATGGCTATTACAGAGGAATCCAGAGAAAACCCGTCAAATTACTCTGCAATTCGAAAGGATCAAGGAAGACCCATTAAGAGAAACCCACGGAAACAAGAAGAAATGAAATCTGTTTGAGGAGAAGACAATTAGAATGCAAACAAGGAAGAAGAGAGATGTATTACAAGGAAAGAATTTCATTCCAGAGCAACAAAGAAGATGTTATTCCTGCACAGAATGAGAAGATTCTTTCAAGAAAACAGAAAACCCAGATGAATTTTCTGAAATTCTCCCTTTCCTCCGCTATCCTTCACGGCTGGTAGCCAATCTTTCGCTTTGTGCTTCTCTGGTTCTCTCTCTCAAACTTCTGTGTTCTGTATTTCTTTCTATCCACCTTGTGGGTTCTTCATTCATTTCTCAATTTGCCCACTTTTCTCCTCTTTTATTTACAACCCAAATAAAATAATGGAAAATTATGATAACCATTTGATTCAAATAGACGGCCAGATGTTTGTTCCTCCAACAAACTTCGTCCCATGTTCCCTTGCCCAACCAAAAAGCCGATCCATCATCTCTCTCTCTCACACAGTCACAGATGCTTAATACTTCATATTCCAACAATTACTGTCCCTATGGGGACGATCTTAGTCCTCCAAACAATCTGTTCATTTGGTGTGTGGTCAGGGATCATGAGAAGGATCTTTGGTTTGTTTACCTGGGATGATTCTTGTATTGAGTAGGCGATCTCATCCAATTTAGCTTTCAGTAGCTTAATTAATTAAGCTAATAATGAATAATGATGGTGGTCTAATTCTTCTAATCCAAAAAACAACAAAGAGTACAGGGTCTGCATTTAACTTTTCCGCAGAAAAATATAAAGTATGCATGGGCATGGGCCCATGGCCTAAGAAGTAATTTCGTATTCACTTGCTATATGTAAAAAATTGACAGCCTTGGCTGTCTGAAAGCTTCTTGCATATGACACGTTATTATACTTAATTCTTTATTTGAATTTTTAGTTAAAAAAATATTGATCGTAATTACTCTTTTACCCAAATCCATAACAGTACATGTAAATGAAATCAACAAGCATTAAATTTCAAATTTCTAAAATAATGATGAAAAACCAATAAAGATATTAGACATGTAGGGATTTAAGGCCCCGTTCGTTTTTCAGCAAGTTTCTTATCCATGTTTTTTTTTTTTTTTTTTCAGGTAAATAAGGTATTGATCATTTTAGTTATAAAAATCCATTATTAAAAGGGGTATTTTTGTTTCATTCAACTGTTAGCAATTTTCTTCTTAGGTGGAAAAATTATTTATCCACCTAGGAGATGGATATCACTTACCCAGATAAATGATACCCAGGAAAATAAATTTTTTCTGGTCCCCACATTAATCTGAAAAATGAACATGATATTCTTGGTCAATGAAAACCAAAATCCCATTTACCAACTTTTTCCCTCTCAAAATCCAAAAAAAAATACATCCCCCAAGAGGGAAAACTTACCTTTGATAATTTTCTTTTATACTAAAACCCCTTACCCAATTTGAACTCAGAATTGTTAATGTTACATGTTTGTGGGGACTAGAGGGTGTAGCCTTTTATAAAACCTACCAAATGAGACAGCTACCTTCTCTTTTCAACTAGGGCAGGTGTCACGTTTTGTAGGTATTACATGTTATATTGTATGTTATACATATAAATATTATTATATGACATGCATAATTTATATTTTGTATAATATAATATAATGTATAAAACAAATACATATAGGCCCGGAATCAGGCCCAAGCTCGGGCCCAGCCCATGATCATCCCTAGTGTTGGTTGGGGTACAACTTGGGAGGCCCAACCCAAGCCCAGACTGACCCAGCCCACAATTTTACATGGCTGGATTGGATTTTTGGTCTTTTGGCTTGGTTGGGTCCAACGCCCTGGACTCTTTTTGGGCTGAGTTTGGGCTTAAGAATCCTTAGGTAGTTTAAGGTATTTTGATCTTCTTGGTGGAACCTAAGGTTTTATATTTCGAAAATTTCAGCCACTCTAATCCATGATCAAATTTCTCAAAGTTTTAGTCTTTCAGATGGAATCTTTTGTTAATTATTTCATTAATACTTATGGGCATGGACTGTTCAGTTTGAGTCTTTCTTTTTTACCCTCTTGGTTCTAAATATGACTTGATCAGGTTGACATTATTTATTTTTCCGACTCAATTTGTTCAGTTACTACCTTCACTAGTAGTTTGTCATGCACTGCTTGATCTTAAGCCCAACTAAGGGAGGAGGGTGTTAATGTTTGCAGCTATTAATATAAAAACATTTGGTCAATGATAACATGAATCCTGAGAAAGAATATTGATAGAGCATAATACTGAGACAGGATTCATGCAGCCCCCAAATAGGATTTAAGACTGAGCTTAGTTGAGTTGAATATTAGTAACTTGGTGAGTCACTCGAGTCACTGATGTAGAGATAGAACTTGCTATAGAAGAGCTTGTGCTTGTGATGTTTCCTATACCCTAACAAAAAGAGTGGAAAACTTGAGCATCCCCACAGTTCAGTAACCCAAGGAAACTGTCAATGTGGCTGAGCAGGATAGCTGTACTGAAAGCTCAGGCCCCAAATATATCTAGCCTCAATTTCTAGGAGAATCCACCCTTCCTATTAGTCACATGTGTTAAAATGATGCCTATCTATTAAAACAGATGACTAAGGTGTCATTTTGAAAGTCTTTTTTAGGAAGATCTTCCTACCAGCCATGACCAAAAGATGTACTGAGCTTTGAAATTTGGTCTTTAAAGTTTAAGAGTGTTTGATAATTTTAGGTTAAGTACACTGTAACCCAATGCAGACTTCTGAATGACAGCTCCCATAGTCTATTAGTAGCCACCCCCCCCTTATAAACTGCATCCTGCCCATGAATTTGGCATCAATTCACAGTCAGGATTCATCCCCTTGTACGGTGGGACTAAAAATATCTGACCTGGACTGATCAGTCATTCTCCCAAGATTTTAGGTGTGGAAAGACAAGACTTTCTGATTTTTTTTTTTTTAATCATTTTGGGCTTCCACTAGCTTTCTGGGGCGCAGGTCTTTCTAGCTTCCTGTCTTTCATTATTGCCAAATAGCCAAAAAAGGACTAAATTTTAGTCTTTCAATTTTGGAAAAGCCTGAAAGGCTCCAAGTCCCCCCACCCACCCACACACACAGACACACAGTTTTAGTCCCAAATTTTACAGATCAGTCCCCAAATATCCTGCCCCCATTTTCAGAAGAACCTACACTCTGCAAAATAAATTTTGGTTGATGTGAATCTCGGTATGTTTATCTAACCCTTTTCGCCTTTAAAGTACAATCCCTGATTTCTCAGGAGAATCTCCATCAATGCCTGAATGGAATTGGTGCTACAAAAACTATTCCATAAGCAGCTCTTCTACTAAACAAGTCTTACTATTTTCCCGGGGTTTTCAAAACTAAACGGTAAAACCTTGAAGACAACGTAGAGTGTAGTTGGGCCAACTGCACCTGGTGGATCAAGCAATAGACTCAAATGTATCTCACCAAGCTCTTGATATGGTTCTCAATCTGCGATCCAGTCTCCAGATGTTCCATCTCTTCTTGACTAATACCTGCAGCTGCTTGTTGGGTATCTATCCATCTCTTGGGTCCAAATATCTGCTTGCAGCTGATTCTTAAGCATAAACCCTAAATTTTTGAAATTCTTTGGATGGCATAGAATGAAAGATCACAAGATTGTTCTCATTGTTTAGAAGACCACCATAGTTTCCTTGCTTGCCAGTTATCAAACTGGATTCCTTGCTTGAGAACCTTTCTCAATACAATTCTACTTGCTTGACAAGTCACCTTGGTTTGCAATTGTTGGATTTTCTTATTCTTTGTTGAAGTTATTAACCATATCAGTCCAAGAATTGTCTTCTTTTTTCCACATACAGGACAGAAAGCTACCCAATAATTTTTCATCGGCTCTGAGAACCCATTTTTCCACAGAGCTTCCTTCTAATGTACTTCTCAAGAAGTACCCTTTTGAATTTTGTGACTTAATTGACAGAATTGATGAGGAGGGTTTTCGATTAAGAGTTTCAATCCACTGTGTTCTAAGTTCCCCCCAAGATTTGCCTTGGTAGAATATCATATTATGGATTTCGCTAATATGTTAATATGGCTCCTTTATCTGGGAACTGGGATGCATCAAATTAGTGAAGAATGGGTGGGATTTGAGATACATTAGCACTTCCAGTATGTTGAACAACGAAAAGCATTAAACCCCTTATCAAGATAACCTCGTCCCAGAATACCATAAACATTAATTTGGTAATATCCAATTGAATTGATCAAAAACTTCTTAAGAGGAAAGCATGGGGAAGAGAGAGAAGTATATATATATTTCTCATTTTCCTTGCATTTCTTTTCCCAAAGAACAAAATGTATTCCGTGATGAATTCCATGATGCAGTTCATTAAATCACTATGACTTAACACCAGTATTTCCTGAGAGGACCATCTATTTAATTTGATGGACGGATTTGATGTGGAAGATTCATTCATCAAGTGTTGTCATTGCCGGCATGAAGCCAACCATTACATGGGTATTAAATATTAACTGAGGTATTGGAATGTGTTTCTGATACTTATTTCAGTCTTCCTTCAGAAAATACAAATTACAAGAGGTGTTTTATTTTTTTATATTACAGTCTAGCCAACGGAAGCATCATTGATAAGATTTCAGGACATCCCCTTCGATGATCCAAAGATTGATTTATTGACTTCTCACTAATCAATTCCACCATCCAATTAACTCAAAGCCATAGAACTAGATCGAGTGGTTAAGGTTTGTTGGGGTTCCCTTTATGAGATGAGACCCACTAATAAAAACAAGAAAAAAAAGAAGGAAAAGAACGAAAGGTCAGACATTTTTGCATTGGCTTGTAAAACAAGTCAATACGTTCTTGGCTAATCAACGAATTGGAGAGAGTTCCACTCTCTCAAATCTAACAATTCTCTAGAAAATATTAGAGAAAAGAAAATGAGTTTTGAGAAGAAGGTTTTAAGAAGAAGAAAAAAATTTACAAGGACTGAACCGAATAAGATAAATCGGTTTTCAATATCTCTTCTTACCTCGTATTTCAACTCTTTGTGAGAGATTTATTATTTGCTATCTATTTTAATGATGTTTTCTGTTATTGAAATCCAAGAACTTTTTTAATGTTCATCATCTAATTGTAAATAGATAGAAAAACCTTGTATCCCATTACTATTATTGATAATAGATGATTTAGATTTCGGTCCGTAGTTTTTATCCTCACATTGAGGGATTTTTCACGTAAATCTTGATACCTATTACTATTGCTTGTTTTGTGTTTAATTGTTTGTTTCATTACTGCATGATTGATATTTTTTGTTAAGATCTCTTTG